ATCTAAGTAATAACTTTGAAAGTAATAAAAGTATAGAAGTTAACTAACACTTCTAATTAATCTTTTACTTATTGTTATCTTTGATTTATTATTTATTTAACTTTGACTTATCCAACTAGTGAAAATCATTCTTTGTATTTTAATAAATCATTCATACTTTTAAATTATAAAATACTTACCCAACTAGTGAAAGTATAAAATCTATTTCTTTTTAATACTCTCTCCTAATCATCTAGTATCCAACTCTCTCAAGTACACACAGTCACTATTATCACTTTTATACAATTCTTAATTAATTACTATAATTAATCAATACTTTGCCTATTACTATAAGAATGGTAACAATATATATTTATTGAATATTTATTTATTATTTATTTATGTATTATATATTAATAGAAATATTGAATTCTTTAATATTTTGAACTATTAATATTTTGAATTTTAGAAATTTTATAATAATTAATTTTATATATAAGTAGTATTTTGCTTAATACAGTATAGGATACTTAAAGATGCCAATAAAATTAGTCATCTTTAAAGCAAAAGATTTTTATACAAAGATTATACAAAAAAAAAGGAACTGATATTTTGTAGCTAGATCTATTTACTACAAATAGTGTCCTTCTTTTTTTTGTATAAAGATTCTTTGTTTCAAAAATGACTAATTTTATTAACATCTTTAAGTATCCTGCACTATAACAAATTACAAAATTTTTTAAGTAGATTTAATATTAAGTTTAAAAGCTAATTTCTCTTTGATTTTTTGATATAGTTTTAATTATAAACTTGTAATAATCTAGTCATATTATTATTCTTGTATTATATACTTATATAGTCTATATACAGAATATTAACTAAGATAATAATAGTAAAAAAGTATAGTAATAAAAAAACTTTGTTAATAAAACTATCTTGAATTTATCATAATTATAATATATAATTTTCTTTATAATAAACTTAATTTGATTTATTAACTCTTTTTATAATTGTAAGAAAAGATCTATTTAAAGATCTTTTGCTATAAAAATACTGTTAAAAGAACTGGAATAATAATATAAAAGTGAAAAATATTAAAAGAATATTATTATATCTGAAAATAATATGTGATAATAATAAAAGATAAAATAATAACAGTATAAATTATATGTAAAAAATTATATATTCAAATTATATATAATTATAATTATTACTATTAAAAAAACAAAATTTGATAATTATAAAAAGAATGTAATTATAAAGAAATTTTCTTATTATATAATCAAATTTCTTTATAGTCACATTTTTCTATAATTATCTTATTTTGCTTTTCTATTTATATATAAATATAGTAAAAAAATTTCTTTATAGTTGCATTCTCTCTATAATCATCAAACTTTGCTTTTTCAAAAATAATAATTATAAAGAAATTTGATTGTATTTATATATAAATAGAAAAGCAAAATAAGATAATTATAAATAAATATAACTATAAATAAATATAGTTATAAAGTAATTTGACTATATAAAATTATATAATTTTAAATTATTTAATAAAAATATAAATAATTAAATTAAATTATTAAATTTATTAAATAAAATAAAATAAAATAATTAATTATCAAATAATATTATTTTATTATAAAATATTCTGATTATAATAGTATTATTAATAAAAATTAGATGATATAATTCCAAAATTTATTATTTTTAATTTTAAAAAATTTAGAAAATAATAATTCAAAATAATAATCTATAAATATTATTATTATTATTTAAATTTAAATTTAAGAATAATAATAATATAATTGTATAATTATATAATTAATTAATAATTTTATTTTGTAAAATTGTTATTAATAAGAGTTTTATTATATAATAAAATTTTATATAAATTACTATTATTGAATAATTATATTAAATTCTTATTGATTAATTATAAGAAATTTCTATTTGTTAATTACAAAAAATCACATTATTTTTTTCAAGTTTATTATTGAAGATTTAAATCTTATTTTAGCTGATCACAAAAGAAATATATATTATTTACCATTAGTATTTTAATTATAAAATTTTTAATTATTTTATAATTTTTCTTATCTGATTTGAATTATATAAAAAACATGTTTTATATTTGAGATTTTATAAATATATTCAAATAATAATACCATTTTAGTTATTACAAAGACATGTCATTTTGTAAGAGTTTAATATAAGAAATCTTTTAATAAAATATATAAAATCTTCAATTATAATTAAAACTTGATATATTATAAAGTCTCTAAGCTTACAAGTTCAATACTAAATCAAAAAGTTTTATTTATATTGGTTTGCAAGCCATTTTTAAAGCAGTCTTGAAGTTATTTAACAATAATAATAATAATTCTTTCTCTTTTTTTTAAAAAAAAATGGTTTGTCAAAGAATTCGTAAAAAATTTTTTTCTTTAAGACAAAGAAAAATATTGTGGTGAATGGAAGGATATTGTGACGGATCAAAAAACATGCTTGAAATGTAAATAGAAAAAGATAAAATATGGTAATAATATTGTCAATATGTGCTTAAGACTTGTGTATATTTATAGTTTGAAAATATATTGGTAATTTCTTACAATATTAAAAACACCACAATACCCCATTCGCAAAATATCCTCTTTTACCTTATATTTTGTTTTACTCTGACTTTTTATTAAATATGATACAGATACATGGATTTTTAACGATTGAACTAAAGACTTTTTACACTTCACTGAAAACTTCTAAGGAAATATCTGGCAACGATGTAACTGCTGTCACCACATTCTTTAAGTTGTCGTTACGCGGAAAGGCTTCAGAAGCCGATTGAACAGCTGCAAGCAGTTGCTGTTTTGGACTGGATGTGCGAGTAAAATTGTAATAGCCAAAGGTGGCACCCGCGTTTTTGTCAGCGGAAATGGGAGTTTCTTGTTTAAGTGAGAGTGGAATTTGTTCGTAAATTAATAAATATTTGTGTGAAAAACTTTATCAAATTCAGGAATACATACCAGCAAGAAACGTCGCAATAGGCTTCAAAACACCATGCATCAGTGCTGGCATTCCGCCCATTACCAACATTTTTTTCTTCTGGCCATCAGCTTTCCAAGAGACTTGTAACAAGAGCATAAGGTAAGAATAGGCGGCATCAAAAGCAGCGATGGTGGCAATGATGTTTGGGTCAGTGGTCGATCTAGTAAGGAAAGTGTACCAGTTTTTATGACATGAGAAAAAACCGGCAGCCATGGGAAATAAAAATCCATCACTTACAACTCATTTGGATCATCCATAACAGGCCAAAGCTGATAATCTGACTCGGACGCGCCTTTAACCTCGTACTTACAGCATTTAAATATTCCATAATGAGAGCTATCGATTATCCCGGTGAATGTTTGGTCGGTTATTGTTCCTTGGATGCTTCCTTCAATTTCTCTTCCCTTTTCAGTTCGCGCTTCAATTCTCCCTTCAATTCTTCCTTCAATTCTTCCTTTAGTTTTTTTTATTTCTTCAGTTATTGCTTTGATTCCGGTTATTTCTCCGATTTTTTCTTTGATTCTTCTTCCTCCTTCAGTTCCTTCTTCGATCATTTCTTTGATTTTTTCTTTGATTCTTCTTCCTTCCTCAGTTTCTCCTTCGATCATTTCTCCGAACATTTTTTCAAATTTTCCTCCCTTTTCGGTTTTTACTTCGGTCCGTTCTATACATGTTTCTATAAACATTTCTCCGACTATGTCTTCTATATTTGTGTCTCCGGTTACCTTTTCGCTTGTTACTTTTAATCCCTTGAAGTTTGCACTGATGCTTCCATTGATGCTTCTATTGATATCTCGATCGATTGTTACAATTATATACTCTTCTATCCCACTTGTCCCACCTTCTCCCTGTACACAAGCAATAAAGATCGCACGTAAGGTTATTGTCATTCAAAACGAGAAAGATATGAAAATAATAAAACCTGAGTTTTGATCAATTCAATAGCGCGCTTAACAGCATCGAAATCTTTAATGACAATCAATCCATCCTTTCCTGTACCAGTGCTAGGAGAGTAGCCCATGCCAGGTCCAAGCTTTATCCATAAATAAAAAATTATATAAGAGATCACCTTGCGTAAAAAATAAGGTCCAGAATGAAGATGGCTCATTACCTGAAATAGTGTATTATACTTAATCTGATCGTCAAGTTTTTTAAAGATATCCTCGATAAGTTCATAGAGTTGCCCGATACTATCAACATTTATTTCATCTTCATCTATTATGGGTTCGATGAGTTTGCGTGGTTCCGGAGCTTCAATTTTTATGAATGTATCGAGAGTAGTCTCATCTGCCTTTGACAAATGGACCATAAGCATACCTGAATTCGGATAATGCAATGAATGAATTTTATCTCAGAAATAATATAGTAAAAATCTCATTAGTGCGTAAATAGCTGTCTTACCCTGTTGAAAGTGAGGAAGAGGATTCGGGTAGAAAGGAATCATTTCCCGGGAATAGAATGTAGGCTGGCGTCCTATAAATCAATCAAAGTAGAAAAAATTGTTTACCATGCATAAGTATTGCGTGAATCAAAGTGCACCTTCAAAAAAGTCCTTTAATATATACCAATAGCAACAATAAGATTCGCCACAAGGGATGCATGTAACATTTCTTCTGCAGCGACATGGCGAATTTGACTTCTCACTTTGTCACCAATCTTCGTTCCTGGCTTGATCGAATACAAAGCATAAAGATATGGTGGAATAGTGCTGAGTTCAACCATTAATGCAATTCGAAGAAGCTCATAGAGCTGGGAAGAGAGCGTGATTACGTTAATCTATGAGTTAGGCGTGTACTGTAAGTATCGTATTAAAATTACAAAGATAACTCACATCATCTAGGGTTGCTTCATCTTTAATTATCTTATGGTCAGCTATTTTGTAAAGGTTATTGCGTTCAGTTTCAAAGAATGCTTTCGTTTGCGTGCCTTCTAGTTGCTTCTCGACAATAAACCCTAATCTACGCAGTTCAAAATCGTCAAAATAACCTCAAGTCACACTATGCTGCAAGTTATGTGTAATATCATAAGATACAAGTAACTTACCTATCCCATGCCCTAACCATCTCCATATTACCCCATTTAGGGTCGCCTTCACTTACATCGTTATTTCTAAACCCACGAGTCCATTCCTTGAAGTAATCTAACTTAACGCCATACTTGATGATGTCTTGTTCCTATACTTAACTTATTAGTCACATGCGTTTACGTTATAATAAATTGCATTAATTCCCGCTTACATTCGTATACGGAATCGCGATATCAGGTCTTTGAGCTGGCCACCAGTGTGTATTGCACTCGTAAAAATCGGCTTGCCAAGGTACAGCCATGTATGCATTAATGTCTCCAGGTTCTATAACATCAGAATTGATTCTACATCAACGGAAGATATACCGGAATAATCAGAAATAAGAAAAATAGATCAATGCTTCAAGATAATATGGAAAAACATATATTGGTCTTTATGATACTTTGCATCAAGCATACCTGAAATCATATTTTTTATGAAATGTATTTTTGTCATAAGCCACAAATGACATTTCAATTCCAGGATAGAATGGACCTCCAACACACCATTCAAGCGGTGCTTTGTTGAGACACTTGACTTGCTCAGAAACCTCCTTAATAGTTTCTTCGAACTTTTGGTAACTACCACCTTGAGGATGGTCTTCATCAACTAATTTGTACTGGGGATGGTCTCCATCATCTATAAACTTGTAGTGGTATGTTTTTGGCTGCCTTCCTGTCACGAAAGACCCATCTGCCCATTTTTCTAGGAGGCTAACAAGAAAACATAGCGTCAAGCCAAAGTTAAATGATATTAGACTCAATATAAATACTTACAGGTATTGACCACGAGTAACGGTCAAATACGTATCTGGAGCGGTAGGTGTGGCATCTCCATCATTGCCAGATAAAGGTGGCATAAAGTAATTATAGGCTTGACCGTTATATTCGACTAAGGATGCGAGATCAGCAGGCACCCGGATACGAGAGAGGACGCTTTTCCTGTAGATCGACAATGGAATAGACATATTAATCAAATGTAAAGTAAATTATGATTTCAGAACCAACCTCAAATCCTTCTGATCGTCTGAATTATCTTTCAGACGCGCTTCCAAGTCGGGATTTAAAAAGTAACCTGGTTTGTTCAGGCCATGACCCGTTAAAGCCATCGTATTAACCCAGGAGCTCTTACAGATAGCTTCAAATATCGGGCGGATGTCACGATAATAATTTACCTGTGAACAATGTTAAAAAAGCAAGAATACAAATATAGATAATTTCTCATAATTTTCTCCATCGTATAACCTAAATAATATAGACCTTAGGATCCTTATTATATAGATCGAATATAATATCTGGATCGATATGCTCTGGATCGACTGGATGCTGCGTTTCCGAGATAATTTGATATAATGATATCAGATTGGGAATACCTGGTGCAAACTTTGGAGGTGCCACGAGAACCCATGACTTGCCCTCTAAATTTGTCAAATGCATATCACGCATCAATAATCACCACGACACCAAAAAATGGTTTACTTCCTGTATTTACGCATGCACCTTACCTCTATTCGTGAGACAACGACTAGTACCGCCATTAGGGGTAATGGTGATGGTGGCATCTACAGAGCCATCCGAAGTGTCATCGTACCAATAATCGTTGTTCGCGTAATCAGTAATAAAGACATCTGTAAAAACACAAGAAAGTAGTAAAGTATGTAAGATGAGTGACAGATTTGAATATTCCTTCTATAAATTAAAGGAATACCGACCATCTTTGATGCTTCCAGACTCTCCCTTTCCACCAATAACTAGCAAACTCCCTGTTTGCTCAAATATTATCTTGCCTAAGTATAGTTCCTTCCCACTGTTATAATTGGCAAGATTGCGATAAACACGCGCCATTAATTTTTTTTCCTTCGTCCCAGTCCCATACTTATACTCTTCAGAAGATAGATTTTCCTCTTTAATTGCCTCTAATGTAGACCTATCATGGGGCCAATCTACAGATGGTTTGTAAATTTCAGTTACTACGAACATCCCAGCTGTAGCCACGAAAACTTAATCTTGCCAGAACTATGTACCAGCATTTCGCATAGAGGCATCTTGGTAAAAGTGCTTGATACCGGAGAAAGACTGATGTGCTGCTTTCTTGTTAGCAAGAGTAACGGTCCAAGTAATCTTCACCTCCACGTTTGGATCACCGTTAAGCTTGATCTCGCATGCTGGGTCCTGCCGAAATGGTCAAAATTAGTTTCGGCATATGATAAAATGGTTCGTTCTACTTTTTGCATACTAAAAGATCATGACATTCGGCAATTTTACCGAAATTGAGCTATTTCAACAAGCATCCTTGATCTCAAACTTTACCTTATCATTTTTGTTTTTGTAACCATAGATTCTGAACCTTGCAGCTTGTGGTTTCACTTGACCATTTTTATCCTTAAATGTGAACTCAGAGTTACCCTCTGTACAGGCAATATGTGTATTAGAATAGAGCATTAATTCCTAGCCGTGTCTCAACATGCATGAGCCAGTGTTGTCACTTTACTATGTTCAGTAAGGGTTATAGCATAAACTGTCTTGTTTATTGTATTGTATTGCACTGAACTATACTACATGTACATAAAACTTTAATAACATTAAGATAACCTATATTCCGAACCCATACCCTAACCCTTTTCCAATACAGCACAATACAATAGTACAGAACAGGATAGTAATTTCCTCCCCATAGTGCAATGAATGGACCATATTGGACTTATAAAATTACTAAGTCCAGCGGTCCAGTGGCGCAGCATTGGACTATGTCAGTTGACAACGCATATTTGTGATAATCATTTTACCTCCAACATGCACTCCAGGAATTTCGGATCCAACATAATATTCATTTTCGGAATTACCAACACGTGCAACATTGAGAGCTGGGAAAATCGCGAACTCTACGAGGTCTTTGTAATCAACCATTATGGGATAGTGGGTGATGTAAAAGCAATCCAACTTACATCCATCTTCTGGTATATATAAAAAAAACGAGGAAACTACTGTACTATTTCGTATTGAAAGGGTTGGGGTAATGGGGAGGAAACTACCTACTATCCTGTTCTGTATTGGAAAAAGGTTAGGGTATGGTTTCGAATACAGGTTATCTTTTATGCCATAACTCTTTTTTGGAGGGACTGTACATGATCTAGACATTTAAAAAACCGTTACCAACACTAATATCAGCAGGTTTTAGTGATGGACAAAATCGACTTAATATAATTTGTTTGTATATATGTACTTATAATGCTTTCTCGATTTCAAAACTGCTATGATAATCATTTTTTTTCTATGACCAACAATGCTGTACATATATGCCTATGATGTAGTTCAATATAAGATAGGCGTTGTCATAGAGCCGTTGAACTCTCTTTTAACTAATCTGGAAGATCCAGTGACTCACAATTATGCATCTTCTTTCACAAGCATGAAGTTGACAACAATCATTTTGTTTTTCAAAGTTTATATTTTTTTCGTGACAGTTCATAAAAAATGAACGCTCATCACAATCATCAAGACCAACCATTTGAACCACACGAATCATCTTTCGACGTTATAATAATAGGCGGCGGCATAGCAGGTTCATCTTTTGCAATAACGATATCCCAATTACTTAGCTCCTCTGGTTCAACCACCACTTTTAGAAAAATTCTAATTATCGAAGAAAAACCAAAAAATCTTGGAACGTTTAAAGTTGGTGAATCGTTACCTGGTGAGGCCAAGCCTGTGCTTCGATCGTTAGGAGTGCTTAAGACGGTGGATAATGACACTATTCAAGGTATTTTATTCTTAGTTAACGACTATTCTATGACTTTTAATTCTCAATCCATATTCTTGCGTCTTGTGTATTATGCGTTATCTTTCATGATAAGAAAAACATCTCTTTTGCTACGGCAACAAATCCGTATGGGGTTCCACTAACATAAATGGTACAGATTCTATATTCAATCCATATGGCAATGGGTTTCATTTGGATCGATTATTGTTTGAGGAAACTTTGTTGAAAACTACAGAATTGCAATATGGGCAGATTGTTAAGGTTATTCGTGGGTTTGGTGTGACTGGTTTATGTTTTGACTTTAAGGATGATTGTGCGGAAAATACTAAGTGTTGGAAGATTACAATTTCGAAGTGTTCAAGTTTGAATGACGATAGTGGTAAATTTATTGGTTGTCGTAAAGCAAAGTTTGTTTTATATATTGAACTTATTATGCGTTACTAAAATGTGGGTTATAGCACGTGAGATGCCAAAAAAAATCTATGGAAAAATTTTAGTTGACGCAAGCGGTCGCCGTTGTTGCATCCGAAAATGCATGCCGTCCCTAAAGCGGCATTCATTTGACAAGTTACTAGCTTTCGCCTGCCTATTCGAATCTGCCTATCACAATGGCTTAAAAGACAATGATCATCACACTCTAGTAGAATCCTGCTGCTATGGCTGGTTTCAAACTAGTCGACTCCCCAACAATCAACGTGTCATCATTTTCTTTACTGACGATGATTTGGTCAAACGACTTCCCCGGAGGATAAGAGCGGTTGATGAATTTTTGGATTTTTTGAGAGAGAATACATTGAATATTGATAAAATCTTGAAAGAGTTCGATTATATGCCAGTTGGAAATAGGATTATGTGTACGGCTGCGAATTCGGAAGTACTTTCAGAATTTGGTTAGCATGTTGAAATAATTATAGTATATACATTCGATATATATTATGATGTCGTCTCATCTCACATCTTAAAACTTGTTTTTTTTTGGTCAGCATCAATCGAAAACCACTGGATTGCAGTTGGTGACAGTGCAATCTCATTTGACCCACTCTCATCTCAAGGAATCCTAACAACTTTATATAACTCAAAACTTGGTGCTGAAGCTATATTTTTTCAATTCTTATATAATAGAAGCCCAAAAGAATCGAGTAACAATAACGAAAATACTAATGGTAACATTCAGCCCTTTGACATTTACAAACACCAACTCACCCAAGTATTGACCAAATACCAAAAAGAAAAAAATTATTTTTATGTCAAGGAACAAAGATGGGTCAAGGAGGTGTTTTGGAAACGAAGACATTCTGAATAATATCAGATATATCTCCATATCCCATGGGTACTATGTATACACCAGTGGAAAAAATCCCATGCCCTATTAAAATCTCGTGATAAAATATGCTTATTATTAAATCACGTGGAAAAATCATCGATAGTTTAAACATGTTAATATTGCATTATTATTATGCAATATTATTTAGATTATATTTAAAATATAAGATATAATTAGTTAGATTAAAAAAAAGAAAATTTATAATAAAAAACTAATCATTCAGACTTGTTTGTAATTATGTGAGATTTATAAGATTAATGAACAAGTCATTTTCAGCTTGAAAAGTATAAATTAGTGACATTATTTGATTTTCTTGAAACTCTTATCAAAATATTAATTGTTTATATAATCTAAAACTAAATATTTATATTGATAAAAGTTGAATTTTATGTGAATTTAATAAATATTAGTGCTGAAACTTGAGAATATTGTTGTTTTGGATTATTATATTCTTTTTTTGAAGTATGTTTATATCTAACAAAAATGAAGTTTGATTTTTCTGCTTTAATTTGATCATTATATTAAGTAAATCAAATTTGAATAAAGTTTTATTTGAAGAATCAAATTACAAATTTTATTAAAAATGTAAATATATTTAATTTGAATAAATTAAGCAATATAATAAAATAGTAAGCTTTGTTAAAATAAATCAAGCAATATAATAAAATAGTAAGCTTTATTAGAATAAAATCTTTGAAAATTGATTTATATTTAAATTTACAATTAATATATTGGTATTATTAAAAAAATGAAAATTTTTTGTAAAATACTTGCAAATTTCATTTAATAAAAATAAAATTTATATAATAAAAATTATTTTAAGCTTCATAATAAAAAAATTAATATTAGAATCTATTATAATTATTAATTAATTTTAAAAAGTAGAATATTTCAAATAAAAAATTTTATAATTATAATCTTTTATTACTTTTATTATATATTTTTTTTATCTTTTAAACTTTTTTTTATATTTTATTTAATAATAATAATTTATATTTTTATTTAATTATTTTATATTATTTTAAATAATTAATCAATTTATAATATAATTAGAAAATATATTAAATATAAATAAGAATAATTATTATTTTTTAAAGTTAAAATAATTTATTTAAATATTTTAAAATAAATAAAATATATATAAATAATTTAAATTAATATTTTTCTTGAAATATTAATCTAAAAAGTTAAAAATATATTTTAAAGAGAATTATCTAATTAAAAAGCTTTTATTATTTATTTATATATTATTAAAAACAAGTTTTAGCTAAAAAAAATATAAATAAGAATTATTTTAGCTAAAACTTATTTTTTAATAATATATAATATAAAATAAATCAAGAAACAAATTTTGTTTTGAATTTATTTTTTATTTTTGGTATTTTTTATTTTTCTTGTTTGTTTTTTATTTGTTTTATTTTTGTTTTTTTTGTTTTTTTTTGTTTTTTTATCTTTTTATTATTATTATTTAATATTTGATTCTTTACTCATATTTTTATCAAAATATTATATTATCAATTATTTATTTATTAAATCTATTACAAAAATAGTTATTATTTATTATTTTTAAATATTCTTATATAAAAGAATTAGAAACAGTAATAAATAAAAATTTTTTGTTAAGTAATTATTTTGTTAATATTTTTAAGATTTTTATTTTACAAAGAGAGTATCAAACTTTGTTACTGTTTTATATGATTTTATACTTTTTAAATATATAATATATAAAATACATAATTTCAAATTAAATAAAAGAAATATTATAAATAATTAAAATTATTTTTAAAATAAATAATATATTTATTAAATAATTAAAATAAGCTCAAAAATCCTTTTTAACAAAAAATAAATAAAATATTAATAATTCTTTTTTATTAATTTAAATAATTATAATTTTATAATTAAAACAAGAAGTTATAAACTAACTAAATAATATAATTTTACAACAAAAATCAAAAAATTATATTAATTAACAAAGTTATCTAGCTATTAAGTAATAAAAAAAGTAAAAGAAATAACTAAATTCATTTTTAATATTAAAAGACATATTATATTTATAAATAATGATAATCATTAAATTATCAATAAGATAATAAATGATTTTTGAATTAATATTTGAATTGATATTTGAATATATATTCAAATCAATTTTTGAACAAGTATTCAAATTGATATTTGAACTGATATTTGAATAAATATTCAAACAATACTTTATCTAATAGAATATAAAATATAATTGTTCAATAAAAAAATATTAATTCATAACAATACGTAATTATTTAGCTTTATAAATATATTTTTGATTCTGAAATAATAATTTATAATTTAATCTGACTTTTCCAAATGACTTTTATTGAATGTGTATGTATATGCGTGTTGTATTATAAATATAATATGTGTATTATGTTTGAATAAAAAGATCATAATAATAAAGATATGAAGGTTTTAAGTTGTAAACTAAACTACACTTACTTATTGAGAAAAAAGAGAAACAATGATTTGAAGAAAACAATAGTAATAATATTAACTAAATGCAACAAATGTGTTTTTTAAGAATACAAAAAATAAGAAATGAAAGATAATGCGTGTATGTGTATGTATGTATATATGTATGTATGAATGACTGCGAAAAAATAAATAAAATATTAATTATAGTATAGTAATAACATCAAGGATTTCAAATATTCTACATTTATTAAGAAAAAAATGATATAGAAAAGTAAAAAAAAAAATTAACTATCTTTTCTTGTCCCATTAAAATAATTATATACTTTTATAATGCATTGATGCTAGTCCCGGAATATCGATAGTGATCCATACTATCCATAATGAAATCATCATCAACAGCTTCAACATATTCGTCCTCGTCTGTTACACCACCATCTTCGATATCTACAACATCGAGATATGTAATATTGTTCTTGAAACCAAAACCGGTACCCAATAACCATTCAACTACGAGCGCTTCTTCTCTCTCTTGCTCTTTATCCACTTCAATCACTACTGTTTCTTTTTCGTCCACTTGCTCTACCTCTTCTTCTTCATCGACAATTTTCACCGCTTCGTCAATTGATGGACTTCTACCAACCCGTTTTCGTAAATGACTTGGAGCTGCGGGTGTTACTGTGATGGTTACCGGTGATACATCTTGGGAAGCTTTATGATTATTGTTAATGTTGGTATCGTCGTCATCTTCATTAATTGATGATGTAGTTTCATGATTATGATGATTATTTGTGTTTTCAATATTATTTATTATACCAGCTGACTTTATCTTTGTCGGTAACGCGGAAATTAATATTGGAGAATGTGGTATTGATTTCGCTTTTGATATGAATTGTCCTGATTCAAACGACGCTGATTGCGCGCTCAAAATTTTTATTCTTTCCGCTTGGTCTTCATGAGAAGTTTGCTGCGTAGAATTATCTCGTTGCTGAGAAGTGGGTAAATTATAAATTGGTTGTTGTTGCTGCAGTTTTATTGCTGTTGCCGATATAGAAGACGATAGTGATGGCTGTGGCGAAGATGCTCTTGGGGAATTTGAAATATTTCGTGAAGGAGAAGGTGGAGGTGTTTTTAGCGCGGAAGACGTATTTTGTTGCTTTTGATATAATAATGAATCAGATGATGTTCCATTATTGGTGTGTGACTCTTGAGTTGGAGTATTGAAACCAGAACCAGCTTGAGCCATAATTGAAAATTGTGAACTTCGAGCTGTTAAATGTTTATCATCTGTATCCTCATATCCTTCGTCATGTACCGCTGTATGTGTCATTGCTGGTTTACGTTCATTTAAATTGAATGTGGGTTTATTTGGTGTACTGTGCCCACTTCTTTGCGAATTTAAAGAAATTGTTTTGGAAAATTGTCGTGCATGACGACCTTGAATTTCAACTTGGTCGAAAATACTTGGCTCTTGTTTTTCTTCAGTTTTAGGTAACTGAGGAATCTCGATTCTCACATACCGAGGTTGTTTATTTTGTTTAACTGTCCTCGAATTTGCGGCACTTATTGATTGAGTACTCGATGATCCAAAACTATTTACACTAGACATTCTTGTCAGCGGTTGTTCATAGAGACTTTGATCATCAGAGAATGATGCTTTCCTGAATCGAGATAAGAATTTTTTCAATTTTTTCTTCTCCTTTTTATTACCACCATTCGTAGCTGGTGGTGGAAGGTCAGCTTGTGAGAATGAAGTCTTTTCACTCGGAGGTGTTGTGGCTAAGAAATCCATTAGATCTTGGGCTCGGTGTTTTCGTTGAGTCGTTTTTGCTCCATCCGTTAAAAGTAATTCATCATCATCATCATCATCATCAATCAAGTTCAGTCTGCTTGGCCGATTTTTAGGAAACGTAGGTGATACACTTGCTGATAATCTCGGCCCAAGATTTCCGACACTTTTACTACCATTATAACTTGATAATGATGATGCTTTACTAATTGAGCGATTTAAATTCGATCCCGAAGCAAATTTATTTGTATGTAGCGGACTTCCAGGTGATGCAGCACTCGTATTCTTATATTGTCCGGATGGATACAAAGGTGACGTGGGCAATGAGGATGCAGCGGCGATTAAAGGCGTATATTTTGGACTAGTGGGTGTTCGTTCTGGTACAGGTTCCAATTGATCGATCGATTTTACACGTCTTGTTGCTGACATGGATTTGTTCTTGAAATTGGCTTTATTTCCTAAATAATCATCGGGACTTGTATTTTTCAAAAAATCGTATAAGCTTTCTTTATCTTGTTTACGACCTTTATGTGGAAGAAGATCGTCGTCTGACTCATCCGATTCGGGTGATGTGGGCCGAGATGTGGGTCCAGATGTGAGCCCATTTGGCTGAATGGTTCGTTTCTTTGGAACAGCTTCTCGAGGTGCAAGTTTTGGTGGTCTTTTATGCGCCTACGTTGTCACAAAAAAAGATACATTTTTAATCGATGATCATTGAAATAAACAGATTGATCAATATATTTGATAATAACGATGGTTAGTCAATAACCTACCTCTATAGTTATTAGGCGATTTGGTGTTAAAGAAACTTTCATCGTCTGGCATCCATTTATTAATTGTTCAAAACTTTTCATCTTTTCAGAACTTTCCTCCTATTAAATGCGTAGAAATCAATAATCAGATCAGTTATTTTTTATTTACATCGGTCCCATACGCAAGACAACAACAAAAGAACAAAGATCATCTCCATACCAAACTAGAAACACTCTTCATGTCACTTTCCTTTTCACCAGAGCTTCCTACACTTTTGATCGACCTTGGACTCTTAAGTTCCATGCTTATTCGACCATATGATGAGCCAGTACTTTTTTCATCTAATAATTCTTTTCTATCTCCACTTCCATTATGACAATGTTGTTTATTTGGTGGTGTTCCGGAACGAGATGATTTCGTGGATTCGCTGGAAGTACGATATGGTGAAGAACCACTAGCAGTTATTCCATATTTAGCTATTCTCGTAAAAAATATAAGTGATAATAATCAGATATTATATCATGTATGCTAGCTCTAAATATACGCATATATGCTAATTATAGTAAGAAAATCATATCCAAATCAAAAAGACCTACATATTGTCTTAAATCCATTTTGTGCCTAATTAATGAGATATCGATATGTGAGTGAAGTCCTTTTTTAACCACATACATACATAATCACCATTTTACTTACCTCCATTTGTAATTTAAGATCCATTCGAAAAAACAAAGGAGAAATCTGTGGGTCTTCCGATAAAGCAGTGTAAACCTCTCTAGCTTTCGCTACTTCAACCTTGTGTTTTTCCGAAGTCTTCGCCACCAGGAACAAAATATTCTCCCCGATATACTCCAATACGGCTGTTAGATAAATAGCCAAACTCGGCGCAATATGTATGCCGTCCGAAGTAGCATACAAATCGGGGACGGCGTTCTCAATGTCATCACCACCCTCTCGTTCACCCAGTGTACTATAATGCTGACATTTGACGCGAAACTGTTCAAATACTTTTTGTAGTGGAAACGGTGTAATTTCTATTGTTCGCTCTTTGGTGTTATCTGAATTTCCGCTCTCCACATAAGTTTTTAGTTCTAGTTCTGCTTCTAATACGGCACTTTTTCCAACGCTGGTTGGAAGCACGGTGCTGATTGCCGTTTTTATTCGAACCAGGTCTAGAGAATGCGCGGCATCGATGAGAAAGTACAAGAATTCATCAAGAAAGTTGTTTATTGCCTGTAGTGCTTCAGATGAAATGCGATAAGGCGCAACACTCGCTATAATGGAGTTTGCTGCCCGTTGGGAAATGTAAAGAGTGTCTACCATAAAAGAGAATAAATAAAAAATCAATAAAAGTGCAGAGTAAACGCGTGGAATAGGGGAGCGCGCGTGGATGTATTATTTTATGAAAGAATAATATATATGTTTTTTCGGAAAAAACGAACGAGATGAGTTACTTTACTACTAATTACTACGATGCGCTACGATAAGAGGGACATGTGTATATGCGAGCAATAACGCACTGACTGACTGACTAACTCAAGATGCAATATGCACAATATGTAAAAGTGTATGATTAGAGAATATTAAATTTAATAGACGGTAGAAATAGAAAAATGCTACAAATATGTATGTATCGGTATGGTATGTATGTGTGTATGCGGGGACAGACATATAATTTTTGAACGAGAAAATCATATAGCGATAAATACTTACCATGGTGTTTTTTTGTAACGGAGGAAAATGTCAAAGTGGTGGTGGTTGTCGAGTCAACGGCCATTATAAATTATTATTATTATTTTTTTTCGACCGTTATTTTATTTTATTTTTAATTTGTAATTTTTCCCTTTTTGAGAAAATTTATTATTTACTATTATTTCGAGATATATATTTATGACCGCTTTGGAAAGAAGGATATTGTAGAGGTGAGAGGAAAAACAACAATAACAACAACGCGCATTGAGGTAAGCGTTTTCGTTTCTTTATTACTATTTGTTTAGAGGAAATTTATCGGATGGTATGGGATGGCATGAAGTTGGAATGTATTTTAGAAAAAGTAATAAAGTCGAAATGAAATGAATGCCAAGGAAGGAAAATTACATGTATTATTATTATTATTGTTGTCGTTATTATTTGGTAGTGAGTTGATTACATTTAATAATTATGTTTTTAATTATTTATTATTTTCATGCTTGTTTAATTAATTGTGCAAGATAAATCGATAAATAAATAACCTCGCATTGCTTTGTGTAATGCAATGTCGGATGTGGTACTTCTTCAACCGTTAAGGTTAAAAATTTACTTGTTAACTCGAATTATCAAACTTTTGACATTTCATTCAGAAGTTGCGGGATAGAATAAGAAATTCAAATAAGAATTTTCTGTGTAGAAGGGAACCGCATGTAAGTTAATCAAACAAACTTGCTTCAGATATCGATATGACGTGGTTTTAGGGTAAATCCTCATAAATTCATCGCCAGATTTAGAAACATGTTTCAAGGTGGTTGTACGCGTTACTTGTACCTTCGGGGCTAGAAAGTGTACAAATTTCCTATATTTTGTAATGTACAGAGTGACTGTACCGGTACGACTGATTATCATTATTTCATTAGTTGAATGACGAAAGAAGTTAATAAGCCACAAATCTTTTTTTTTGTCAAATCCGTGCAAGTTCGCTCATGGGTTTGCAAAAAAAAACAATCAAATAAATAAATGTTTGTAAAAATATAATCAATTACAAATAAGGGTAAGAAAAAGGGTAAGACAAAAAAGGATTGAAATTACGTTTTTCGTTTCACATTTATTTAGGAGCCCTATAACAAAGATCAATAATTAATGTTATCAACAATAAATTTGCTTAAAATCAAAGACAAAAAAATTAACTAACATCTTAAAAGGCAAAACGACGACTCGTTCCCAAACACTTCCGGTGACATACGGATCTTGCTCAACAAACTTATGAACATCTTGTACCGTCTCCGCCTCTAAGATCATTAGACTACCATTCATAATTTCTTTTGGTTCCTCATTCGCTTTGACGCTTTCACTACCGTCACCGACACCAACACCATTATCAACATCCGTCTTTGCATCTTTTAACAGGGCCCCACCTAATATTAATGTTCCTTTTTCCCTTGATTCTTTAATACGTGCTAAATGGGCTTCACGAACTGCTAATCGTCGAGATAATGCTTCTGCATCGGAATAATCGTGCGCTAAATTTAATTATTTTTGGTGATAATTAGAACATGATTGGAATAACGATATTTTTTACTTCAGAATTGTTAGTTCGGAATAATAGTTTACCTATCACCACAAATTGCTTATGAGCTGTATCATATTCGAAAAAAATTAACGCGTAAAACAAACTTAATGTGCGAAATAAGCATTATCAATAAATAATATACCAGTAATGGTTGAAACAATGTTTCTTTTGTTTGCTACAAGTTCACGCACAAACCATACAAAACGAAAAATAGAGATTTAAAGAATAATAATGAGTTTATTGAGATAATGATACTTTTTACTTAAATATACCCGGCAACAAAGAACGCGCATTGCATAAGAAACTCTGTCGTGACGAGAACATAAACATTATTGATTTTTTGACGAAGACAGACAGCAATCTTTTTTTAAAAGACCGTCGATCTTAATAAAGATCTTTTGATCCTGCTGCGCCAAAGACCAAGATTGTGAGATAAAAACTGCAATGAATGTAATAACACATAACCTTTTTTTTAAAGTAAATTAAAAAATTCCAATATGAAGAGGTTGGTTGGTAACCATGTCTGTTTCTATCAAGGCAAGATCGCAGTATGATTTTTATTGCTTCAATTACTATTATTACTGCTTGGCATGATTCGACTGTCAAAAAGTAAACGTTGAACCACCGTTTCCTCTTCTTTCGCCGGAAAAAATTATTTCTTCCATGGTAGTCAATAATGTCACGTGATGTACATTATAATCGCCCGACGCCATTTGAATTTGGAGGGGTAGATTTAAAATGTCACATTAGCTATGTATGCTACATTAGATATTAATAAAAATATATATAACTAATTAAAATTTACAAATAAAGTAATAAAACAAAGATGACAATGTTAATGATAATAGTTATCTATGTGATGATTTTAGAAAAATGAGAAATAAAGGCCCATGACAATTATGACCGTGACACCCATTAGCATTTTTTGGGTTTTTTCAAGGCGCGATCCTAGCTCACTGCGAGATTCTTGTATTTCCGTAAGGGACTTTTTTAGTTCGTCGAGAGATTCTCTCAACTCTTTCTCGCGTCTCGCATAAGATTGGCAGCGTTTATCCATCTCCGTTAATTTCGTTGAAAGATCGTTAACCCGTAGAGTTGATGCTTTTAGTTCACGGCTGAGTGAAGCGATCTTTTTGTTGTTGTCGTCAGAGTCAACAACACGCTTTATTTCAGCGAGTCGTTGTCTCGTTTCCTTCTTAAAGTTGACGAAATTTAAGTCAGAAGAACCACTGCTATTGCTACTGTGTGTGTTTGATTGGGAATTCAAAGAATTGCATCGATGAACAACAATCGTATTTTTAGATTGCGTTGAGCGTGGCAAGTCAATAGAATGACGGCGTATAACTGAACTCGATTTAGCATCTTCAGAATCATTGGAAATCACGTGATCGTCAATGATACACGATTCTTTAAAATGATCGATCGACTTTCTTCGAGGAATTTTTGAAACAATTGGTTGTGGAGATGATCCTCGAATACCAACAGTTATTTCTTTTGAATTAATGACGATTGTGCCTTTATCAACTGAATTTTGCAAATCTGGTGTAATTATTGAATTTATCATCTTTGATATTACAACCGAGTCGTCATTATCAAAGTTAGGTGTGAATACAGGGTTTCGTATGAGAGTCATTACTGAGCTTGTGTGTGAATTATCGAAGGGATTTTCGGAAAGATTAGATTCCACTTCTTCGACTCTACCTTTCCCTTTTAAGATAATTGATGAACTATTTGTATTCGAAAAGTCGTCGAGAGACTTTGATGCAATAGCTTGTTCGTTAATGTCCATTGAATCTGACTTTGGAATATCCATTTCGAGTTCACCAAGAGACTCTTGTTTTGTCAAATTATGGAGTTCAACGTGAATACCCGCATCATCTTTGGTTTGATCTTCGGAGTCAATTGTGACTATTTTTGTCTCAAGTTTATCAGGGGAATCTGTGTGTCCGCTATTTTTATGTACTACAAAAGTCATTTTTTCGTCATCTTGGGGTAATGACGAAACAATTAAAGGTTCTTCATCCGAATCCGACGAGACTTTCGAATCATTGATGCCATTTTCAGTTAGTTTCAGTGAATCATTTTCGAGGTCGACCAATGATTTCATTGGTATTATGCCTATTGATGTATTATTATTCTCGTCCTTATGTTTTTTCAATGAGAGATTTTCGTTCGCAACTATGGACTTTGAACGAGGCCTGTTTTTTACATTCACTGCTGAATCTCCATGACCATTGGCCAACACAGAATCTTTATCACCAGCTTGCGAAAATACGGGAATCCTAGTTGAGCCAAACGAATTGGATCGAGGTCTAGACAACAGAAATTTGTTTTCCGAATTTTCATTTCCGTTGACGATTTTGACTGTGTTGTCATCATGTTGAACATTAGGACTTGGAATTTTACTACCCAAATCTATAGAATTCGAACTAGACCGACTCGCCGCAATTTTATGCAGTAAAGATTTATGTGTCGGATTAAGCTCTCCATTAAGAATTTTGACTGTTTCGTTGTCTTCTGGAGGTATTGGTGGCTTCTCATTAGAAATTATTGAATTGGATCGAGTTCTGCTTTTTACATGTGACTTTGAATTCTCCTTAGATTTCCCTTTATTAACATTAATATCACTATTATTATTATTATTATTATTATTATTATTATTATTATTATTATTATTATTATTGTCATTATTGTTATTGTTATGAATATTATGGTTATTATTAGCATTATTATTAGCATCACTAGAAAACTTTCTTTGATTACTACTTAATAGAGAGGTCAATGACTGTTTTCTTTTTTGTTCCGCAGCTTCTTCAGTTTTGACCTATATAATTATATTCATATTGTAAGTATTCTTTTTAAAAATTTCAACCAAACATAATATAACATGATGGATTTTATAACAATAATTAAATTATTTAGAACGTACCTCTACGTTTTTCTCTGCCAGTCTGTCTCCAAATGCGTCAATTTTATTTTTAACGTTTTTCAAGAGACGATTTGTTTCTTGCGTATTTATTATTTCACGCTAATTGAATTTGAATTATGAATATATTGAAAATTGAATGCTTGTAGATAGAATTCTAGCAAAATAATTTACCTCAAGAGAAGAATTTATCATTGTGATAAGTGACCCATTCTTTTGAACTACTGCTCCTCGCTGTTAATATTTGAAAAGATTGAAGTCGATGAGATATGATAGCGGAAAAATACCTTTTTTACGGGTATGGTATTTTGAGCAATATACTCACCTCATCACCACTATAATAATTAAGGCACAAAAATAGAGAAATTGACTAATTAATAATCAACGATTAAAACTTGAGGATACAAGATAAATTTCTATGTATGTAATATAAACCTCGATATATTATTAGGATCAATTGTTACAGCTCCACTGGTCAGTACTTTAGCTGAAACTTTTTTGTACATTATTGTGTGATTATCATCTCCTAAGATATCGATTCCAAACTCCTATCAAGATTAATCGAAAAAGTCAATTTATGTCAAGGAAATAAAAAAGAGGGTAACCTGTACATCGTTGTGTTTGATATATCAACTTACCAAAATATCACCGTCATGGAGCTCTTCCGGCTCGCTCTCTGAGCCTTCTGGACTCAACCTGCGGTTGTTCACAAAAGTGCCGTTACTAGACTTCACGTCTTTGATGTAGACCTTTTTTTATTCGCAAATTAAGTCAATTATAAATTTGAAAAAAATTCAAGAAAACATGCATTTCCACCATACCTTTCCACGATCATTCCAAACTTCAGCATGCGATCTCGACAAGACTTTACTATCAAAGTACCCATTGGTATCGGAAGGCATAGTTTTGGTGGTCGTCTGTCTACCGATTTTTACCTTTTCTTTGTCCGCCAGGATAAACTTTTTCATGGTAAATGTGTTATTTAGTGGTTGTAGTAAGACTACTATAGGCTGCATTTGCTGACTCATGTTGGCTGACGCTGTGGGATGAATCTTCATTACACGTTTTCCTCCTAGACAATTATTCAAAAATCATTAAAAATGTTAATCACCTTTAGGGTGAACATTATACAAAAGAATGTACATTTTTGTGCAATTTGTTTTTTCAATTATCAAGCTTTTCTCATAACTACGAGCATTCGCCTTGAATCACTATAAAATTGTTACCTCGTGGTTTATTGCCAATTAGTTTATTGGTGGTATTAACGTGGACAAAAGACATTCCGGTTGAATGTCAGCTTTATTCTAACTACTTGCTTGAGGCGATCGTCAAATATCTAGCGTGTTTCTTTGCAAGCAAAATGCGGAACTTGTCGAGCGTAATTTGTTGTAATGAGAACAAAGTGGGGTTATAGTGGGGTTATTGTGGTGTGAGAGGTGTGATTGTTGATTTTACGAAACTGATCGACAAATTCATATGTCGGATAAACTTCTACCGGGTGCGTGTAACAAGTTTCTGAGTGTGAATATGCCCAAGGAAAAAGAGGAGTTTATTTAATTGAGGCGTGAGACTCTTAAAAAATATGCAGAACGAAAATGGCTAGATCAATAAAACTCGACAAACCGATTCCGAATATACGTTGTGATCGTTTTCTATATACGTAAAAAATAAGACATTTCATTTAGGATGTCTCGATTTGACAAAGTCTGGAAGTGAAAAGACGTAATGTCCCATCTCTTAAACAATATTTCGTGACGAGGGATTGAGTGCTAACGCTAATATCGTTCGAGTTGTCACGCTCGAGCCTTCTAAAATACCTTTTTAGAAAAACCATATGTCATCCTTGCGTATACTGAACACAATTGTTAAAGCAGATAACCTTTTGTATGTTCTATTACCTCATCGATGATATGTCACAATTAATAAAAGAAGCGGGATATATTGAGTAGCTTGTATACAATTTTTATTATGAGTGTATTATATCAGATTGTACAGAATAAAAAATGTAAAAGCCAATCATTTTTAATTGTTTGTTACCCCTGTGATGTGTGTATAAAAAAATAAATTAATTACAAAAAAGGAGATACGAGTTTTTTTTAGAGAAAAGCAAAAGAACAAAAAACAGACCATAAAAAAAATAGAAATTCATCATATAACTAGGAAAAATGAAAAAATCTAGTAATAATACGAAATAGAAATTGATAATAATAATGGTACTTTTTATGTGTATTACTTTTTTGTATGTGTATATGTAGATTATGTGTGAGCGAGATTTATTTTTTTTTGGCATAATATAAAAAGTATGAGGAGATTAAAAAAGATGAATTTTATATTGAAGAGATTAGTAGTATATATAAGTATAAGTAATGTATAAAAAAATAGTTTTTAAAACTAGAATTAGCAGTAATAAATATTTTTTCAATGTCCATCGTATGAAATAAAAGTTTGCAGTATTGAATTGATGTGATTGAGTGAAAATGAAAAGAAAAAGAATATGTGCAAATTAAAAAAAAAGAAAATATTACAGTAGAAAAAGAAAAGTCAAGAGTCTCTTTTATATATATGAATATAATTGTATGTTATGTATGCTGTAATTATGTAGATATGTATTTATGTATGTATGATGTGTATGTATATATGAGTGAGTGAGTGAGAGGGTGCTTCTGTATGTGGGGGATGATTATGAAGCGAAAGTGAATTTTTCTATGCACTGACGAGATTCATCCATCTCATTTTTACTATATTTTACACTAGAGTTCTTTTGAAGTTTCCGCCCAATGACAAACAACACAAATTGTACCTCAGTATGGTGATTAAGCCAATTGTGGATCGAAAGAAAACGAGTCCCTTCTTTCGGGTGTAAAATAGGAATCTCTCCGCTCAGAACTCAACAAAAAGCTCGATGACCCGCTACTATCACGTCTCTCCAAATGATTAAGTCGTTCCGGGAAGATGAACGGACTAGTAGTTACAGCACCACCGTTACCAAGAGAGTTCGAGAAACCCAAAGAATCACGTCTTTCTAATCCGTAACTCGATTCTCTTCTCTCATTTGACGACAATGTGTTATACGCAGAGTCACGTCTTTCGAGACCGTAATTAGAATCGCGCCGCTCAAGTCCATAATTCGAATCGCGTCTCTCCAAATTAAAATTTGAATTACCACGATCCGATAAAAGACTATAAGTTGAGTCACGTCTTTCTAGCCCGAAGTTACTTCCACGTCGTTCTCCGCTATGATTATTGTTGTTGTTACTTCGGACACCGAGTGGGTTCTTTGAGAAACTCAATCTGATCCCCCCCTTGATTGAATTCGAGAGAAGATTGCCGTTCAGTTCAGCCATGGCTTGAGTTGCATAGTGCACATCCTCAAATTCGACAAAACACATAGGACCATTTTGCTTGGTGCGGAAGCACATACGTTTGTATCCGGGACACTTTGAAAACATGTCTTTTAATTCCTCTTCGAGAGTATTCATTGGCAAGTTTCCGACGTACAATGTATTACATGGGGGATTTTGGTCGGCTGGATTCGGAGGACGAAAACCAGGAATTGAGAGTGGTGAAGAGGATATCAACGTTGATGGAGGTAATTGAGACACAACGGAAGGATTCATGGTCAATTGTTGCATTTGATTGGCGAGTCCATCATTCATCAATAGTGCGGCGGGAAATCCATTCGCGGAAACCTTTGTTGATATTGAATTAGATAAGATATCGACAGGAGATTTCGAAGTAAAGTAATTTATCTCATCACAATCGCCCAAGATATTTTTATATCGCATCCCTGCAGCTCCTCCTCCCACAATACCACCAATAGAGTTACCATTATTCACACCAACACTCCCACCCATAAGATTGCTACGTTGACCAATAGCACCAGCGGAACCAATCATACCACCAATAGGGACAATACCGGCGCCATTTGTAGCATCAAATGAACCACGAGCCGTGGCAAAAGGAGAATTATCATTTGGAAAGACAGGAGTTGTGGGCGTATCCGGAGTATAAACACTTACATCTGAAAAATCGTATCCGTAATCACCATAATCTTGTGGTGATAATAAATCGCTGGGAAGTGGCGGAGCACCATACAGATAATTATCGTAGTTGTTACCACCAGTAGTCGAAGAAGAAGAGGACAAAGTGTTTATATTGCCGGGGGTTTGGAATCTTTTTGTTGGGGGAACAAGCGGATATGAAGACGAAGAGCAGGAAGACGCGGCAGCAGCAACAGAAGATGCAGTAAGAGAAGTAGTACTATTATTGTTGCTGGTATTGCCTTGTGGTTCGCTGGAGAGACCGCGTTTATTGTGTAAATTCTTTTTAGCCATTTCCGCTTTGAGAACTGATCCTTTTTCCGCATCAACTTTTCGTCCACTGAGAATGTCTCGTGCAATTAAAGCTTCTTCCCTAGTACGGAATTTAGCAAATCCGATCTATACATTATAGGATATCATTAATAAATTGAAAATCAAGTAAATGAGAAGAAATGTAAATGATAAAAAAAACTTACAATTTGTTTTCTCGGATTAATTCCACTTCCATTGACACTACTGTTACTTCCACTACTTCCGTTGGTCGCCTCATCACTTTCTTCACCCGCAGACGAGGAAGCCGAATCTTTATGAGGTACCTTGAGAGTGGCAGCCTCGAATCCCGGGGAGAAGATGAACATGTTTTGAAATTCGCGTTCTTGCATATCCTCGGGGAATCCCACCACAAAAATTGTTGATATTTCTTCGCTGATCATTTTCTCGAGGACTAATATTAAGTGTATGTGTATTGATGTTTACGCACTATGAAGTATTATTTAATGTAAATGATTATGATGATGGATATGATGATTATGTGAGAATGCGGATTATTTTTGTGAGAATATAGAAAATAATTAAAAAAGAGACAATTGAAATATTTTATGTATGTGTGTTATTATTTACAAAAGAAGAACAATAATAATTATAATAATGCAGAATTATAAAATATGCTATACTTTATAAATTATATAATGTTAATTAGCAAGAGATATTTATGATTATTAAATATCTCGGGAAATTTGCGCTAGTGGCTTATGTTGTGTTTCTATGTAGTGTAAAGGGACAATAATACAATAAAGTAAATTATTTTTTTTTTGTAAAAAAAAAAAGGGGGGGAGGTGAGCAGAAAAAAACGAACTTTTCTTCTTACTCTTACTTGGGTAAGAAAGGTTGTTCGGGATGTGAAAATGGTGTTTTTAAAAAATGCTAGAGTTTTTTTCCACAACAATACTACTATTGCTGCTTCTACCACTTAACTACAAGTATATGAAAATGACTAATAATTATAATAACAATGAAATAATGGATAATATGTGTCTGCTAATATGTACATATATGCTGGGTGGTCGAAATGACGGACATGCGAGACGGGACAACGATTCCTGGGAAGGTTGATTTGTTTTTCTGGGATTCTTCTGCCAGTTGTTGGTGTGTAATCGGAGTAGTGAAGGGTGAAAGTAGAGAGAGGGAAAGAAAAGTAGTAATTGTGAGAGGAATATAATAAAAAATAGAACACCCTATTTTTTAAAATTTTTGTTGTGGTTTGACGATTAATTGTTGTGTAAGGGGTTATTGTTTGTTTTTGGTGGTGTTGGTTATGCAGAGGCAGAGAGAGGAGTTATTTATTGTGTTGTGGAAGGGAAGAGAAAAAAAAGCGAGTTTGTTAGTAATTTGATTTATTGATTGATTAATTGATTGATTAATGTGAACTCAAAAGAAAAAGAACGAGCGAACTACAAAAAGTGATAAGAAAACGAAGTAAACGAAAAAAAAGTGCGTGAGTGAAGAAGTGGGCGAGTGCATTTCGCTCTTTTTATCTTGACTCACGATTTTTTTTTGACACTTTCACGTTCATTCTCTTTTATTATTATTTCGCTCTTCTCTTTTTTTATTCTATCTTAATTATGATAAAGTAGATATTACAATATTAATAAATTATATTAACCTTTATATCTTGTCGAGGACGATGTATCGATGTTGATTGATATACACAAACGCGATGGATTTTTATTTAAGTAAAAAATAAAAATAAAAATAATAATAATAAAACAAGAAAATGATGAGAATGACGATGAAGATTAATATATGAGAAGAAACAATAATGATGAATTATACGATGAATGTGAAAAGGAAAAAAAAGTTAGAGACCCGAGGCAAAGAAGAAAAAGTGAATAATAATGTTAATGATGATGAAGATGAATATAATGCTTGATGATGATTTATGATGATTATGATGATGAAAATAATGGAGGTACTGGTCTTTTAAATTAGTTAGTTAGTTAATTAATTAGTTAATTAGTTATTGAAGTTGTTTGTTTTAATGCTGATTATGATGATGATGCTGAGGATGCTGAGGATGCTGGATGCTATAATAATAATAATAATAATAATAATAATAAAAATAATAATAACAATTGATATGTGCCGTGTTTTTAATATAGAATATATACGTTGTTGATGACGAGACAACGTAGGCAAAGAAGAAAGAGAAGGGAGAAATTAAAAAGTGTAATAAAAGTAGTAGTAGAAGAAAGGGAGAAGGAAGAGGAAAGAAAAAAAAAGAAGAGGAATTGAAAGTGGAAAGGAGGTGGGTACCTATTTATTTCGAGATTGGACAATTGGTTAGTTAGTGGTAAGTGGTATTTGAAAAAAGAGAAAGTATTGGGCGTTTATTATAAATAAATAAATAAATAAAATTTTTTCGCTTTCCTTTTAGGAATAAAAAACGGGGAATTTTCTCGCTTGTAACCAACAATAACAATAATATAATAATATACGAATAAGATGGTGATGTTCGAGACACAATGGAAAAAAAATCACATAAATTATCGATACAATAAATAATATAATAGATGTTCATTTTATATGTATCAAAACAATGAATGAATGAATAAATACAATAAATACAGTAAATTAAATTAAATTCCTGTCATTATTATTTTTTATTTTCTTGATATATACGTATATTTAATTTGGAAGGACTTGACGAAACAAAAACTGAAATAATCGATTTCAATGAGATTGAATAATCATGTTCTTCGTATTATACATATATTGATAACTTATACATATATTGATAACTTATACATATATTGATAACTTTGTACTGTACACTGAAACATTCGATCAAAATATGTCTCTTTTTTGTGTGTGTGTGTGTGTGTGTGTGTGTGTATGTGTGCGTGTGTGTGCGTGGAGAGAGAGAGAGAGAGAGAGAGAGAGAGGCAGGAAAGGGAAAGGATACGGACAGATTGACGTATCAATGGGATAAGATAAATAGATACATGATAAATAGATATAGAGATAGATCGATCAATATAAGCGGGAGGCAAGGGGTAGGCGAAAGCATTATTAATAATATGAAGGGTATCATTTAATATAAATAATAATAAAAAATACAAGATATTACGTTGCCCAAAAAATCCCTTTTACAAAAAAAAAAAGTTTAATTACCACTATTGCCATTATTACCAAGATTTTTTTTTCGTCATCGTCATAACAAACAACAACAATAACAATAAAAAGAAAAAAAAAATATAATATATAAAAAAAAGAGAACGTGATTATGTTGATGTTTGAGAGTTCCCTGTTTTGATCAAGTTGCAGCAGTTGTTTGTACATAGTAGAAATTACTCCACATAGTCATCTTATTATTATTATTATCATTTATATTTGCAGCACACATAAATGATGATTATTATCTATCAATCTATATCGATATACCACAAATTGTAAATATAAACCTAATTAAGTAGGTTAAGTATTCAATAACATCAATTAAAACAAGAAATTCCTGTTTAATGATCTAAAATTAGGGAATTTCGAATATCACAAATCATAACGGAATAATTTCCCAAATTTATATTTATAACTCAGATTTCCGAGGATCATCTCCATATATACTAGATTTAATTGGTTGAATCTAAAGTTCAAACAAACATGTGAAAATGAGAACAGGACTCGAACCCTAAATATTTTTTTGTGGTGTCGCTGTCATAGAAAATTGCCCGGATCCATTTCAGGGATTCTTTCCTTTTATTATTTTATAAAAGGGAGCCCACGAAAAGGAATAAATATTAACTATAAAAGATTATAGAATATAGATTATATAATATAGAATATAAAAAAAATAATATGATGGTTGCCAAACCGCCCGCAGCACTAACAATAAAGAAGTACAATTATTTCTTTTATCTTTAAAAATGACGATTTTTGTTTATCTGTAAGAGGCCGATATCAAGAATAGAAACAGGATACTAACAGTTTTCCCCAAAGTTAGTAGAGCCTAAACAATGTAATATATTTTATATTATATAATATAAATTTTAAATGAACAGCGTCTATCAAAGCTATTTTTTTTTTGCTGTGCACATTATTATTAAATATTCGAAGTTATTGTCTTATTCAAGAATTTATCCCCGCTCCCTCCAAATTTTAAACTGATGCATTGTTTTGACTATTAAAGTAGTAGATTTTATTTCAGTCACATGAACTAATATTGTTTGGAATTGAATTTTTAAGATGATAGTAATAATAACAATAAAAATAATAAATAAATTATGACGAAAAATTAAAATAATGAGTCGTCACACACGCAACCACGCGCGCGTTCTTTGAATAATTGTATCAAAACATATATGAGTGAAAGTGGAGAAGCTTTTTAGGATATCAAGACATTAATTATTGTCATTCCTTTTTCTTTGCACACGCACACAATTTTTTCTTCAAGGTTATTTAAAAGATTTTGTACGAAACTCTTGTACTTGTAGTTTTCTGTAATTCCCGATTTATCTGTTAAAAAATGCTAATAGTGTTGACTGTAATAATCCCACAAAAAAAAGAACAATACTAAATCAATTAAAAATTCAGGAAAAACAACAATATTCAAGTTTAAAAATAAAACCAACCAAATTCAACCACTCATTCAAACAATACCCAACCATTATTTTGAAAAAATCAAAAGAATAATGTGTACCACTAATCATGATAATAAGAAAATACACATTATTTCGGACCTGATTCATTTTTCTCGGATGTCTATTATTTCGTATGTACACAGTACATGTATACGGTCGATACTTTTCTCTTGAAAGATGATATCAATATGCATCAATTTCTATTTCTCTTTATCTATCTCTCTCTCTCTGTGTGTGTGTGTGCGCGCGTCGTCGTTTTTATTTGCTGGTGCACTGTAACACTTACAAGTGATGCTAATTAAATTAGTGAATCAATAATTTCCTATAAGTCTTGGTTGTAATTATTACCCCTCTAAAGCACATATGCACACTGTACATTCACATATATCTGTACCTTCATGTATGTACATTCATGCACGCATGTTATGCATCGCTTGTGTTGTTGTCCATTTTTGCATTGTATGCGTAGTAAAGTAACCTTTTTTTCATTTTCATTTGCATGTTTCGCTATTGTTCTGATACTGACGTAACCGATAATAAAGAATTTAAACTGAATTAATCCAAATAAAATTATATTTGGCCAGAAAATAACTTATAGTGGCCGCATTTTTTAGTACCATCTTTTATGACTTATAAAGATCAAGTCCAAAAGACTTAAAACTGCTATTCTTTTAAAAAATTGCCAAAAAAGAATCTTAAGTGATGCTTTATCCGGATTAAAAGTATTAACTCGTTCTATTATATATTTGAAGACCTGGAGCATAACCAATATTTAAAACAAATAACAAAACTATAAAATAGATCGATCAAAATTTTGAAAGGATAACTTGAAATAAGTGGGTAAAAAGAGAGAAATCGACATCTGATGAAAAACTTTTTTGGCTCATATAAAACTCGAGATCATTTTTTACTTAGGATAAAAAAATCGAACTTGTCCGGATTGCCGGCCATAACATTAACGATAATATTTTATGAGTTAATGATACAATAGGCCTTTCTTGATCATATCCGCGGATTAAATTTTGTATTTACTTCTTAATCAAGGAGTTTATCGAGTTCATAAAATACAATCTATTGATGTTCTACCTTTTTCTGAACTTTTCACTATACGTACCATGTCGATATTAGTAGACATTGGTGAATTAATTATGGGGTAACTAGTTACAACTCTTTGATTGGCTGTCGCAACTCTTTGATTGATTATTGCAAATCATTTTTATTCGCAGCCAACATCCCAACCAATATTTTAGATTCAATGTTTGATGATGAAACTCTTTTTCATCGAGTAGAATTTACTTATATATTTGTAATGATACCACATTTTCAAGGGAATTTCTTGGAACTATTATTGAATAATATAAAAACATAAATGCATTAATAAAATTTGATCTTTTATTAATTTTAATGCACCATTAAATGTATTAACTAAAGTTAAATTAATTGAAATACCGTAAAGCACTCTATATAGCATTCCCTTTGTAAAATACTTTCCGGATATTTTATGGTGCATATTTTTATTTATAGATTTGTATCACTTGACGTTGAATTAACGATGACAATATCAGAGACACCAACGTAATTTTTACAAGTAATGAATATTTCTTCTAATTAAACAAAAGAACTGAATAATTTAATTTTATTCTTAAAAATTATTTATGCCGTATTTAAAAAGTCTTATTATGTATGCGATATTCTTAAAATTTATTATTTATGCAAGATTCCTAAAAATTATTATTGTTATGTTCTAGTTTTATTGTTTTGTAAAGCATTAAAATTACTTTCTGCGTATAATTGTATTCGCAAGAAAAATTATTGTTACTTCTATCTAAAGAAATATAAATACTTAACATTTTTTGATGAATACACTAATTTGAAATGGTCGCAACCAGTAATAGAAGTGCTTTAAAAGCATGTATAACAAAAAAAATTACGAAGGACATTATGTATTATGAGGAAGCAATGGATAAATAAAAAAATAACCTAATTAAAATATCACCAAAAACTTTTAAATTACATAAAGGAAAATCACCAATTAGAAGCCTTATCTGATTGGATTACTAGACAACGGCAATTACAAAATCCTGTTACTAGAACATTGGTGATTATGAAGGTATCTTCACTTGGAGTACTGATTTCCAAAGTCTATCGGATATACAAAATTTTAAATTTTCAAATAGATGGTTCGGTGGTTTTTTAAATCGGTATAATTTGTCAAACCGACACCATACAACTATTGCACAACATTTACCTGGAAGAAAAAACAAAGCTTTCTTACTTTTATTTTAAATCAACGTATTCAATGTAATTACCCTTTATCTTTAATCAGAAATATGGATGAGACCCCTCTAGCTTTGAATTACCAAATCCAACAACAATCGAGAAATATGGAGCTCGCACGATTAGCCTTCGGACTACGGGTAACGAGAGAAAAAATTTCATCGTGGTTCTTGGATGCATGGCCGATGGAACAAAATTACCTCCCGTTTGACACTCGAAAAAGAAGTTAAAATAGAAGAACAATTATTAAATAGAATATTTACTTTAATCGATTATTTACCTGGACAAATTATTAACGCCAATGTATTTTTAAACTAAAATAGATACCCTGAGAAAGCTTTCCTAATAATATGTAATGAAAAGGTCGAAAGAAATGCTTTGGTGGGTTGAAAATATTTGGACTAAAAGACTGCCTTTAAGTAATCTACATTCCCTTTTAGTTTTTGATTCCTTCGCGCACATTTAGTTGATTCAGTTAAACATCAACTTATTAAAAATAATACAAATCTTGCTGTGATTCCTGGAAGACTAACATCTAACTACAACCATTAGATGTCGCTATTAACAAAAGTGTTAAGATGAAGGTATGTTTATTATATTTTGATTTTTGTCATTATATAAGGTAAGTGAGGGTATTATGGCGAAGGAGGGTATTATGACGAAATAGCGATATCTCGATCTCCAGTGATCGGAATCGCACGAAAATGCTACCATTTGATTCGCCGCAACGAGACGAATCGAATGGTGGCATTTTCGTGCGATTCGATCACTGGAGATCGAGATATCGCCACCGAAAGTCATTGTATACAAGAAAAATAAAATTTTGGGTGAAGATCCGCGTTTGGTGAATTTCGGGGCGATATCTTGATCCCTAGTGATCGGGATCGAGATATCACATATTTTTACTTTAGTTCGTCATAATACCCACACAACTAAAATTTAAAAAAATGTCAATTTTGTTCTATAAATTATTTGTAATGTCATCATGTTTTTTACTAGGTTTATGTAGAATTAATTATGCTTTTTAGCCATAATAAATGTTCCAAATATTTGTTGTTTATAAAAGAGTTTTCCTAATTTTAAAATATGAATAATAAAAATATAAAAGAATAATAAAAATGTAAAAGAATAATAAAAATAATTATTTTTTATTTAGTATAAAAAAAATTATAGAGATTAGTTAAATTTTGAATGACTTTTATTAAAAGCAATTATATTAAATACTAAAATTACTAAATCTAAAAATAGAAAAATATATATTATATATATCTATTTATTAATTTGTAATTTATATTATAAAATTATTTATTTTAATATAATATTATTTATTATATAATATAAAATACTTAAAAATATTAATAAAATTTAGTTATCTTTAAAAGATAAAGAATTTTTATACAAAAATTATACAAAAAAAATACTATTTTATAATAAATAACTTTAGCTACAAAACAGTAATTCTTTTTTAAAAAATAATTACTTATTTTTTATTAATATTTATTTAAAATTCACTATATTTATATAATTAATAACAAATAAAATAAATAACATAACTTATAATTATTAAATCAAATTTGATTAATTAATTATATTGTGTTATTTTATTAATTATTGCAATAAATTACTTAGTAAATAATATATATTTTATAATTATTAAATCAAATTTGATTAATTAATTATATTTTGTTATTTTATTAATTATTGCAATAATTATGTAATTAATTAAAAATTAATTTTTGAAATCAAAAATAAAACAAGTTATATAATTAATATTTAAACAAGAATATATTTTTGTTGAAAATTAATAATAAATATTTGAATATAAACTTTAATTTTTTATTTTATTGATAAATTCATATTTTTATTATTATTAATTTTCTTATTATATTTATTCAAAATACTATAATACAATTTGTTCTTGTTATTAAAATATATTTCTGTATCTTTTAATAGTAATTAAATTTAAATTCAAAAGACAAAAGAAAAATTAATAAAAATTTATTTTAATTATTTTTAAATTATGTATATCTGGTTGAACTTGTTAATTTAGAAAAGGATTTTAATAAATCTTAAATCAAACTCAATCTTGAAATCAAATTTATTAATTCATTGCAATTTTTTTGTATTTTAGAACTGCTTTATAATAAATTCTTGTATTTTGTTTAAACTAAATAGAAATTTTATCAAGCTTATTATCATTTTAGTTATTATTACAATTTTGTAAAGTGTTCAGATATTAATTCAAAATTTGTATAAATACTGTTAAAATAAAAAAAGCTGGTGCTATCAGAATTACTATTTGTTTAAGAAAGTATGTATTTTGGCTGGCTTTAAGTTTTGCTTTTTTTTAGAGATCAAATTTGTTTCTTGTTACTTATTCTTGTATCTGTTATAGTATTAATTGCAGGTTAAGTATTTAGAGCGAATTGTTGCTATAATAATAATAGAAGTTTAACTTTTTTTATAATAATACAGTAAGAGCATTTTTTTTCGTTAAAGTTCTGATTAGAAATTTCTAAAATAAATAATTTATATTTATTACAAATATATAAATAATGATTATGCTTTATTTATTATATATTTTACAAGCCAATACAGTTGATTTTTTAATTTTATATTCTAAATAATAACATAAAGGATCATGGTACAATTGATATCTTGTACAAGAATAATTCTGCAAAATGGTAAGAGCTATGACAGTTTCTTATGTAATATATAAAGTCACATGTTTCAAATATTTTACCTGGAGATGCGTTAGCGTTGTATTCACGTGATCACATGGGTATTACAATTAAAATTGATTTTAAGATTAGGGTTAGAATTAGAGTGAAGAACAAAGTTATATGTAAAATTGTCTTCCTAACATTTTTTAATAATGCTCCAAGCTAGACTAGATTGAAGCATTTGTTTTTCGTATTTTTTCATTTTTTCGTTCGTGCTTCAGATTTGTTTTGCTGATTAAAAATTTACGTATTCTTAATGGTTTGTGTTTCGGACTGATCATCGAAGGTACAACGCTTTAACGCATCCACTTACCTGGAGAAGGGGGGCTCTAGTAAATCTATATTATGTAATATATGTCACGGCCCGAATGAAGTGCAATTTTGTGACCTATGAGTCACGTATTAAAAACTCGTATTTAGTAGAGGATGATTGCTTTTGCACTTTGCATGGAACCCTTGCATCTCAAAAACATATAAAAGTTGCAGCTGGTGTGCATTTATGTGAAAAATCATTATTGATTTATGAGTTTGAAGGTGGTTTATTCGGTTAATGCAATCCTTTATTAATATTTAGCGTAATGTTCCTTTGTATTTAGATGAAATTCTCACTCTTATATAAAAATAAGAATAATAAAATTATTATTATCCGAACTGCCAGAACGACCGGTAGCTCGGGGATCGGATAATATCTATCACGTGATCAAAACTTTTCCGCCAAGTAATTTGTGCTCGGTTCTTGATCACGTGCACGTGATCAAACCAATAAGGATGCGTAAATTTTTTATCAGCCCGGCAAAACAAATCCGACACAAAAAATGAAAAATGTGAGAATGTGAAACAGATGTCTAAATCTAACTTGGAGCTCTAATAAAAAATGTCGGTGAAGCAATTTTACATATAACTTTGTTCTCCACTCTAACCCTTACCCTAATACAAACGATAAAATTTACCTTTAGTAGTTGCCGGCACACATATGATTTGCGCATTCTTATTAGTTTGTTATCATGTGATCGCGAACCGAGCACCGATAATAATTACACCGCCATTGCCAGGTACCATCGTTATATCAAGTGATTATTTGATTAATGGGTTCGTTTTATCGAACTTTAACTGTATACGCAATTTACCTTGATGAGCAACGTGACGTCTATTACCTATCGCCATGATTTTGTAATAATCTTATCTTACTTGGTAGTAAATTCCAAGAAACAATTATATAATGGTATTTCATTTTCTTTACAAACATATATTTAATTGATGACTAAATTTTTATTGCAAGCCATTAGTTAATATTTTCCTTGTTTTACGTGATATAAATTCCAAGATACATTTGCTGAATTGCCAAATTTATTTTACTTGATAACGATGATTCAACTTCAATTTAGGTGGTTGAAAAGTCTTCAGAGGGTGTCGTTATAGTAAACTACGAAGCTCTTGCCAATATTTCGGAAATATTGACGGCAATAGAAGTAATTTTCATTTATCTGAATTCATTTATTTTAGATTGATAACTAGATTAAATAAAATCAAAAAAAAAACTTTAGGAAGCATTCGGATCACATCCGCATTGCCTTGGGTTGCTGTTAGTTAAGAACCTACCAGCAGAATACATGGAAATGCGTCTTCGATTATTACGCTTAGCTTCAGTGTTCGCTTCGCTTCCTGATGACATCAAAGAAAAATTTGTCGATGCGGAAAGTCAATATAATTATGGATGGAGCTGTGGCAAAGAATTGATGAATGGGAAACTTGGTATATATTGTAAATTATTAACTATCCAGAGTATTCACAACACCCACAAAAATGAACCCTGTTTTATTGCAGATTTTCTCAAAGGATCTTATTACGGAAATCCTCTTTTGGACACACCTATTGTCACGAAAGAACAACGAGAAAAATTCCCGTTCTATTGTCATCCTAATATATGGCCTACAGAGTATTTGCCGGAATTTGAAGATGCATTTAAAAAATTTGGTATTTTTATAATTGAAGTCGGGAAGAAGGTGGCAAAGTGTTGTGATGCTTTCGGTTCGTATTACTCTTTTTTCCAAATTCCATTAATTGACAATTTTTGATATTTGATAATTGATTATTTTATTTTATAGTTAAATCCGAATCATCTTCGAATTATTTAGAGAGAGTAATCACGGAATCACAAATTCATAAAGCTCGATTATTACACTATTTTCCCATAAAGAAAAAGACTATACAGGAAGATGACGATGATAATGACAAGCAAGATACATGGTGTGGTTGGCATATCGATCACTCTTGTCTAACAGGTAATCAATTATTTGCAAACAGTGACTGCACTATAACATAATCTACCCAAATAGACTTATTTATTAGGATTAACATCAGCAATGTACATTGACGAACGCGACCGAAATCGAGCAGAAATCAAGAATCCTGATCCAAGTGCAGGACTATACGTGGCTACAAGAGACGGTACCATTAAAAAGATCAATGTCCCAAAAGATTGTCTAGCCTTTCAAATGGGAGAAGCGATGCAAGTCGCATCTAATGGAGCTGTCGTGGCAACCAGACATATGGTAAAAGGTATTTCTCGTAGTAGTAATGGAGATAATACTGATGGTGTGCCATTTGATGTCGTATCACGGAATACATTCGCTGTTTTTATGCAGCCTTCATTAGAGGAACGAGTTGGTGATGTTACTTTTGGTGAGTTTAGCGGTAAAGTGTTTGATAGTCATTTTGATTGAATTCAATAATAAAATAGATATAAATTATGTAATATGATATATAAATAAAATTGGATAGATCATGTAGATCATTAAATTTTTTTGAATCGCGAAACTGCTACGTAGTTCAAATAATGCCGTCTGACATTAATCTCATAGACTCGAGTATCGCTGCTGTAATAGCGCGACTTTATACACATCCAAGTGAGTGAAAAAAGTTAAATGACCCTCGCCATTGTTTATTAAACAATCGCCAAAATTGACCAATTGCAATATGTCGAATTATCTTTAGTTGACACTATTCGCGTTCGTTATCAAACTACGCCAAGAGGCACTAAGTTTAAGCATTTAATACCCACGCTAAGTATACCGAAGTTATACCGAGGATTCCCAGTTGCAGCCACCTTCAGCATTCCCGCGGTGTCTACATACCTTTACGTATATGATTCCACTAAACACTTACTTTCGGATAAACTCGGCCTCTCAAAGGATCGTGTTTGGAATCACGCGTTGAGTGGAGTAGCAGCCGAGGTGATCAGCGGAGTATTTTGGACGCCCATGGAGGTGTTGAAGAGTAAACTACAATATAGTACAGCTTACACACCTACGCAGATCCTTGAAGTTGTAAATAACGAATTTGTGAAGAAAAACATGCCATTACCAGAATTAGCACCGCCACCACCAGTGGATTTGAACGTCACCAGATCAACGTTAACTCTATCGCGAGAAATACTTGAAACTGAAGGCATAAAAGGATTTTATCGTGGCTACTGGTTAACACTGGCAGTTTTTGTCCCACAGACGGTGATCTATTTTGTAATCTACGAGAAACTCAAAGCACGAGGAGCAAAAAGCGACGCGGAAAAAATAAAAAGAATCGAAGAATTCTCTAACATACAACACTACGATAGATATGGATTACCGAGAAAACCAGCACCAAAGGTTCATCCTCATGTTGCTTTGGCATTCTCCAGTTATTTTATATATTCTGCGATCGCGTCCGCGATTGCCGCGTCAATCTCGAATGTGGTGGATGTCGTAAAGACACGGTGGCAAGTCACTTATAAAAATGAAGAGAACATTAAGTCACCATTGCAGATCATAAAGAATTTGTATATGCACGAGGGTGGTATTTTTGCGTTTGGTCGTGGAATGATCGCAAGAGTTGCTTGGGCTGTTCCTGCAACTTCACTTAGTATGGCGGTGTTTGAAGTGTTAAAGGAGTTAAGAAGGAAACGGGCTTTAGAATTGGAAGAAAATTCAATTTCGTGATTATGTCAATTTTATTATTGACGAATTTTTTGTCTTTGTAAATTTTTGGATCAATGTAAATTTAAATAAAAAGTAGTTAATTTTGTCTCTTGTTAAATAATTATTTATTATAATATACATATATCCATATATGTTTTGATATCTATATGAATATGAGAAGGGGATGATTGCTATGATCGAATGATAAAATCTAAGAGACAATGAGCACTGCATCTATATATTCATCTTTTTTAAAATTTCCTTGCTCACCCAATAAATAAACCAATCGAACCCTTTTTTTATGATGTCTGGCAGGTCTGGCATCGACTGTTTGATAAGTTGTTACGTGTTAAATCACATTGATTATAATTGCGCTGGCACATTTGCGTTGGAACAGCACCAGACAACGAGTTTTCAGATAAATTTCTATTTTTTACGATAAATTAGCATGATATTTTTTTAAATAGTGAGATCAAAGTAAAAAAATACAATCTTACATTTTCATCAAATTCTTCAATGATCCAATCGAATCTGGTATATTCCCACTCAACTGATTATTGTTCAAAGATAATTCTGACAATTTATTGCACTGACCAATTGAATTCGGTATACTCCCCGACAATTTATTTTTTTGCAAGGACAAAATATTCAAATTCGAGAACTGTGAAATTGACGATGGAATAGAGCCAGACAATGTGTTCCCGCTTAAATCAAGGTTTGCGAGGGTTTTTTGAAATGAGGCGGAGCCGAGTGAATCCGGTAAGCTTCCAGAAAGATTATTGTTACCCATGTTTCTAATACGAATAAATCATATGATATATTAATTAAGAATTCATTTTAAATTATTTTTTAAATATAACCACTTACAAGGTAACCAAATTTTTTAATTGTAGCACAGAGCTGGGAAGACTTCCGCTAAGTTGATTCGAGCTCAATTCCCTATTCGAACATTGATAAAAAGGTTATATCAATTAATGCGAAGCGTAAATTAAATAAAACAAATCACAAAAAATTAAAATATACATACAAAATATTAAGACTTGATTGCAATGACTTACTGTTGCCAATAAAGTCAGGAATATTGCCGGATAATCCTTGAGAAGAGATCGTCCTTTGAGGAAGTAATAAAAAAATGTGTTAATCTAAATTTCCCTGTGAGCAGGAATCAATGTTTATTAGTTAATATTTTGAATAAAAAATATTTACAATGATTGTAAAGATAAAGATCCGATTGAAGCGGGAATCGAGTCACCAAATTGTTTGTTCCCTATCAATGTCCTGTATAATAATAAATTAATAAATAATTATTCCTTTAAAAATCAACTTTTTCATAAATAGAAAAATAACGACTTACAAAGTCTTTAATGATGATAATTTGTCTAAATTATCGGGAAATGGTCCAATATTTGTCGATTGGATAACAAGACTCGACAGATTTGCCATTTTGACAAAGTTCGATGGCAATGGACCACTTGGTTGTTGATTATTGCCAGTTATTGTTCTACAAAAAAATTTCAGTAATACATTCCCATAATAATTTATTGTCATGATTATTAATAAAGAACTCACAGCTTTTGTAAAGTAGTAATCTTTCCAAAATCATTTGGTACAACTCCAGGAATATTGGGATTCACTAAAGAAAGTTCGATAATATTTTGTGACGAATCACAAGTGACCCCAATCCATCTACAATAATTGCCATTTGTCATCCACCCATTGTCTGTCTCAAGTCGTGACCCATTGATCGCATTAGCCGCGATACCTTTCAACACGCAAAACTGTGTGATGTTATAAAACACGGATGTGTCAGCTGTGCAGAAATCACACGGAAAAGTTTTCAGTTGATTCGGGAGATAAGCGTTAAATAACGCTAGACAGACCATCGATTTGATATTCTCAGATGACGAAGGATTATAAATCGTCGTAGAATTGTTATTTGCACTGTCACTATTGTTGTTATCTCGAGATGTAATATACATAGTGTCCAGAGCTACGATATTTCCCAATAATAAAATAATAATAATAATCAAAATAATTATACAACAACAATTTCGTTTTTTCTTTTTCTGTTTCCGTTTCTCTTTATCTATTATTACTGTTGATTGTCCATTTTGATCCGTGGTTGGTAAAATACTACTACTTCTCTTGGAGCTCGGAAAACAGCAAAATGGACATACTATACAACAAAGAAGCTTTTTGAATTTGTTTGGCTTATTATTATTATTCGAGGATGATGGGGGAACCGATGCATTCTCGTTGTTATCTTTTTGTCCTGATTCTGATGCTTCATTATTGTTAATATTGTCGTTGTTACCATTTTGCATTATTATTATTTCGTTTTCAGCTAATTCTGATGGAGTTTGATGAATTTTTGCTGATTGAGGATCTGGTGCTAAATATATTCTACTTAATTTTTTCTCGCTATTCACCTTACGTTCTTGATACTTGTTTTTGTCACTAATGGGTGCAAGTATCTTTTCGAGATCTACACTTAATTCCTTGTTACTATTATCGAAATCGTCGTTAGCACTCTTTTCCTTTTCTAATACTTCAATCAAGATAGTAGTATCGTCGTGGCTTTCTTTATTATCTTGTTCCTGTTCCTGTTCTTTGTTCTCTTCTTCGTCTTCTTCGTTCCAATGCTTTGGATAATCAACAGTCAAATTAGTATCGTCTTGCTTTGTATTCAAAGATTCAGGTCGACGTAGAGTATTATTAGAAAGTATTGGTGATAGTGGTGAAGGAAGTGGCGAAGGTATGTATGAAAAGGAAGAGGAGGAAGGTGAATCGGTTTCTCCACCTGGTTCTGTTATTGTTATTTGAAGTTGAGGTCTATCGCTATTATTGTCTGTTGAGGACATGCGCTGCGTGTCTGTTTGTATGCTATTACAATTATTTAGCTCGCCACACACAATCTTTTCGAAGCCACAATATTTTCGAAATGAATATTTCAAAGGAACGCGACGAATAATAGTATCAATTACAAGTATTATTGTAATTGTTGTTGGAATAAGAGACCTGCTTATCCAAAAGTTAATACAAGACCATACGTAGCGCAAAAAATAAGAGGGAAAGAGACCTGCTTATCCAAAAATTTAATACAAGACCACATATAGCGAAAAAGAGAGGGGAAAGTGACGCGTGGTGGGTGAGATAAATAAGTTAATTATCTCCACCACGACGAATAGCGACGAACGGAGAACAAGAATACGTATTATAAGAAAGAATACATATTATAAGAAAGAAAATAATTTTATCCATTGTCGTTGTTGTTGAATGATTATTTATTTTTGGACAATAAGAAAAAAAGTCGTTGTTCAACCATGAAACTCGGATGTTAACTATGCCAGAAATACTAGCACTAGGTTTTTAATCCGATTGGCCAAGGAAGACATTTTGAATTTTCTCCTAAAACGTGCGTTTCGAGCAACGAACTGACGGTTCTAGTATTAAAAAAGTTCGTTATACTTCGTGCTCGTTATAAAAAGTTCGTTATATCCAGAGTTGACTGTATTAACGTTAAGAACATTTTGTATCATTAGCCGAGACAAAGTACGTACTATGTACGCATATGCGATTAGTCAAGAGTTGAAGTGTGCTCTTAACGATTTGACAATGGTAAATGAGGTATATGACTGTTGACTCTGTAGATATTTGCTATTGACAAAGATATGGATATGCATGCGATTCAATAAAGACCATTTTTTATGCCAATTTTTGAAGACCAAGTTCCATAAGTGAAAAACTAAAGTACAATATCAATAATGCAAATTCAATTATGAAAAATTATTTTGCTTTTTAAGAGATGTGATGCAATTTGACAAACCTCTATCAAAGATTTAGAATGGTGTTATAAGATTAAAAAGGGTAACGATAATAGTGAGAATCCATTATCGTTATCGTTAAATTTAACGTTAAAAAGTATCTAAACTAAATTTTACTTCATAACGATATTTAAAAAATATATAAACGTAACGGTAAAATAATATTCATCTAAAAAGATTAATAACAGCTGCAACTCATCGCAGCATATTGGAAGTACAACATCCAAAGGCACTTTTTGCCATTCCTCTTTCAATGCCTCAATTAAATTAAATCCTTTTTGGAGGTCGGAAGAGGTTCCCTTTTTCTAATTTGGTGATATAAATGATCCCATATATGCTCAATTGGATTTAAATTGGGACTTTGGACACCCATTCTAAACTGGAATACTGTGTTTGCACCCACCAACGACTATAATGCAAAGTATGACAAAGTTGTATAAGAATGATACAAGGAACCAAATATTTGGAAAGAATATTAAGAATCGAGATTATTATTAACCTCTACCAAAGGTCCAACTAAATACCATCCAATACATCACCAAAACATTACCGATACTCCACTGTTGGAACCATACAACCTTCTAGGTTTTTTTCAAAAGATTTTCGCCACACTCTTGTACGTCCATCTGAATGGAAAAGGGAAATCGTGATTCATCTGACCATACGATTTAGTGTCATTCATCATTCCAGTTTTTCTTTTCTTTGCACCATTGTAAACGATTTTTTTTATGATGAGTAGTTAAAAAGGTTTATGACTTGCATAGTGAGATTCAAACGATAATAATTTCATGTGGTATTAGAGTGAATTGATGTACAGATAAACCTCTCTAAGTGCACCCCCATATTAAAAAAATAGTGTGCATTTAGAGAGGGTGTGCATATAGAGTAAATAATTAGAGGCCTTATAAGTTGGGACTGAGCCATAGCGTGCATTTAGGGAGGGTGCATTTAGAAAGGTCTCTCGTATTAATATATGCATTTAGTTGATTTGCAATTTTAATAAGCAAAGCTTTGTGATCTTTCGTTTATCACGTCCTGATAAAATTTTTGGTCGTCCAGTACGTTTTACAGGATGTGGAGAACCTGTTTGCTTAAACCAATCAATTATATTACGTACTGTTTGCTTTGGGATAGCGAGGGTAGAGGCAATAGCTGAAGCATTGCTCTCCATATGATATGCACCAATTATTTGTTCATGAGAATTCTTTTCGTGGAAGGACATTATGAATAGAGTGAATATGGTGCAGAAAGTCTAAAGACATCCAATATTGCCACTGCTGAATTTTTTGAAGGATTATATGCAATGCTAATTGGAATTTTACATTAAAATGATCATGTAATTTTACATAATGAAATTCAACCAATCAAACATAATGCACGTGATATTTTAGGTGCTGAAAATCTTACTACATATAAAAAAATCATAAAATGAATAAAAAATATGTAATCAAAGGTTATTTAATAATGTATTTATTTTAATGATTATATATTTAAAATAAAATTTCTTTATAGTTAAAGTATTTGATGTATTTTATATACAATAAAAGATCGGAACAATGTAAATCAAAACAAAGTAAAACATTACTCGATCAAGATCATATAAATATAAATTATTATATAGAGAATAGCCAATCAGAAGCTACTTTTTTTGTGAATAAAATAACGATAATTAACTTTTTGACCGCTGCGACATTTTATATTTTTAGTCTCTTTATACATATATAAATTCTCTTTGTATGGAGTATAAACGTGTTCTAGTAGCTCTGTTTATAGGGCTTACGAGCGCGTTACCTTACTTTCCTGCTGGGGTGGATGGGGCAAAAAGTGGTTTGTGACTTTTCTTGCATTTTAATGAGAAGTCTTTTATTAATCAAATCAAATTGTAATTTCTTACGTCAAGTCTTTTTACTCCTGGAAAATACTTGCTATATAACAGATTTATTGATCATATGTTTATTTCTTTTTTTCTTTTTTTAGCTGCTGATTATTTTGTAAGATCCTTACCAGGACTACCAGATGGGATAAATTTGAAGCAACATGCTGGGTAGCATATCTATCTGCATAGATTTTTACTTAAAGGACACGATTATATACTGATGAACGATTTATATTTCTTGCAATACCAGACACATCCTGACAGACGAGTCGAAAAATGCCAATATGTTTTTTTGGTTAATACATAATCGACATATAGCTGATAAATCAAAGTTTGTAAGTCATTGTCACATAATTATTGTGAAGCTTGTTTTTTTTTAATTAATGAATTTATATTATTTTGTGGTTAGATAATATGGCTTAATGGGGGTATGCTTAACTATCTTTTTTTGCCTTGTCGTTTTTCAATTTGTATTAATTTTTTTGATTTAATTCTTAGGGCCTGGATGGTAAGCAATATTAGTATTTGAAAAGAGACAAATCTTGGATATGATAATTAAAATATTTATTTTTTAATATGAAAATATTGAAATATCATAGCTCTAGGTATGCATACTATTTTTAGCGTTATACAATATTTATTTGATTTTCAACATTTATATTAATTCATCAAATTAAACAAAAACAGCATGGATGGATTATTTCTAGAAATTGGACCATGGCGAATGAATAAAGATCAAACATTACGAATGATAAATGGCTCGTGGGATGAATATGCGAATTTGCTTTTTGGTCAGTTTATATATTTGTTTAATCTAACTAATTCATTAGCTGATTGGTTATATGAATTGGGGTTATGTTTTTCCAAAGAGTAAATTTTTGATGATATATCTTATTTTAAAGTGGATCAGCCTATTGGTACTGGATTCAGTTTTGGCGAATCGAATTCGTATCCGACTACATTAACAGAAGTAAGATTGTCATCATTATTATTATCATTATTGATATATATTCATTCCAATCATATATTTTATAAATAACATTTAAATTTAATTGATTTTATAGTCAACCGAACAATTCTTGACATTTTTGGATAAATTTTTTGAAATATTCCCAGAATACGCGAAAGATGAAGTAAACTATATTATAATTTTTTTGGTGTGGCATTGCCGGTGTTTCAAAAGGGAAAAAATTTAATTTTTTTAACTTTAGAAATTTCATTGCTGTTAAAGATTTATATAGCAGGTGAAAGTTTCGCGGGCACCTATATACCGTATATAAGTTCGGCTATCCTAAAACGGAACAACGAGCGCAAGACTGTGGAATACCAAAAAGTAATCCGTCGTAATAAAATCATAGATGCGATTGAGATTTATCGCAGCAGATTTACTTAACTTTTCGATTAATTTATGGCTAGTATAATTTAAAAGGTATTGCTATTGGTAATGGATGGATCGATCCCATAGCTCAGGTAAGCCATTGACCACTATCACTAAATATAATTATAAATTTAATGATATTAATCATATCAATAATCTTATTACTATTACCTATTTATGTATTAAAAGTATAATGCTTATTACTCGTTTTCTGTGGAAAAGGGACTTTTGACCGGTGACTCCAAGGTATTTTTTTTTGTTCTATTACGTTTTCATAGCATCATAACTTAATTATTTATTGTTCAACTTCACTATTATTGTTCATAGACACGTGCCAACAAAGCATTAAAAGAATGCATGAGTCACCTTAAAGATGATTTGCGAATTAACGATGAATCATGCGAGGAGATCCTCAATGTGGTACTCGATGCTTCTGTGAAAACGTTTGTATTTTTTTTTAATATATAATTAAATTAATTATATATTTTTAACGAGTATATTAACTTTGGTTCGTCTAACAATTGCTATCAAAATTTTTCTCAAAGTGATGAAAGTGGAAATAAAACTTGTGTAAATCAATATGATATCCGACTTACTGATAGTTATCCAGATTGTGGGATGAAGTGGCCGTATGACTTGGAAACCATTACTGAATATTTGAGGGTAAGTATATCATATGTGTATCATTTTTTTAGATTTGTTTCTATAATAGTTATTTATACAAGAAAAAAATGGACGGGCATTTTTCTTGGGGGCTTTATAGAGAACAGATGTGATTGGTGCTATTCATGCTGATGCACAAAAAATTGGGTGGAAGGAATGTAGTGGACAGGTCGGTACTGGTTTTGACAAAGATATTAGTCCTCCTTCAGTTAAGGTAATAAAAATCATGGATGAGATTATTAGATTTTATTGCATATACTTTAATAATAATAATTTACTTATTTATATTTGAAATATAAAATTAGCTATTACCCGAAATATTAAGTAAAATTCCGGTTTTGCTATTCAGGTACGAATATAATTATTATTATAAATTCCATCAAAAAGATAAAATTAAAGAAATTTAAAATATATACAGCGGAGACCAAGATTTAATATGTAATACAAACGGCACGCAAGATTTAATCGCTGGGCTTGAATGGAATAACGGTAAAGGATTCCAGGTAAATCAGTTTAATCATTATCTGTAATAGGTTTTTTTGCTTCAAGAGCGCAATGCAAGTGAAATTCATTATCAATCATATAAACAGAACTCCAATCCTGAAAAATGGTATGTAAATGGCAGTTTAACGGGAACATGGCAGACTGAGCGAAATCTCAGTTTTGTCATTTTTCATAACGCGAGTCACATGGTTCCATATGATGCGGCGCTAGGAACTATGGATATGATTGATCGGTTTATGGGATTAAAAATCAAATTTGATAATTTGATTCCTTCTAGAGTAGAAAATGAGGTTAGTAATGAAATAATAATAAAACCGAATATGTAATTGTTTCATGTTTTTCACATTATACCTTTGCTTTTTTTTTAAGAAGGTGGAAGATGTAACAAATTCAACTGCTGGGTCATTAAATAACGAACCATCCAGTAAAGTTAATGCCAGTGAAGTAAATGACGAAAGCGATGAAATGTGGGATCGTTATTATAACGCGTAAGATTTTTCATTATATTATATCATATGTATGTATGCATTAAGCTTCACTTTTTTTTATAATTTGATTTATTTTGTTGAAATAGAGGCACTGCGTCTTTAGTAATCGTGATAATGGCGGTTATTGGTCTCGTGGTATTTTTATTCCGAGGAAAGTTATTTAGACGAATGCGATCAGTAAATCAAGCCATGAAAGCAGTTGTCGATAGCAACGAAAACACAGAAATGTAAGTTTTTTTTATTTACATTCTTTCTTAATCATAACGTTAACATTGACTGTCATTGAAATAATAGGCAAGAGTTAGTGATTGAAACACCACTGTTCGGATTAGACGACGTGGATCATTTCGGAGATAGTGATCCTGATGATGATGGCGATCATAAAGTTGATAATGATCGAGATATAAGAAAATACAAGGATGAAGTGTCTACTACTTCACTTACACCTTATAATGACGAACAAGGTAATCACGAAACCGCTACTAATACACCATACAAAGATGTGAGTGACGACGATCAAGGTAATCATGGAATTGCTACTAATACTCCGTACAAAGATGAGAGTGACGACGATGATAAAACGAAATATAACGGCGACGATGACGATAATTCAGGTCATGAAATAGATCATGAACGTAATAATACCCGATTACAAGCCGCTGTGGATACTGATGAAGAGCATTAGGTGAACATCTTCAAGAAACTTGAATTTTCATAAATATCCAAGAGACAGAAATTCTCTTTAATCTCATTGGACAATTATTATAATTATTATAATAAAAAATTCTTGGTATTTATTTTAGAAAAATGTATTTGTAACAACTGTTGTAACAACCGCATTTTAATTGGCTAATTAGGACCTGATTTAGGGTTAGGGAGAAACCCTAGTACCCTAGCCATGGCGAAAAAAATTATCGGGTTATTTATGTATGTCCGGAATAGAGAGGTGTTATTGTTAAAGGTTAGGGTTAGAGTTAGAATCAAGTTTATAAAATCGATATTTTTGATTAGTGTACCAAGCTAGATTTAGACATCTGTGTCGGATTTGTTTTGCCGGGCTGATCCAAAATTTACGCATTTTTATTGGTTTGTATCACCAGACACGTGATCCGAGAATTTTTTTCGCCATCTGGATTAAGATTTCGTGCAGATAAATAATACGAACCCAATTTTGATAATGGTTTACATTGTGTCACCAACACACACGAATTTATATTTTTTGTTGAGCACGCCGTGAGCCGCATTTGTTGCGCGATTGACACGTGTTGATTGAATTGTATTGATATAGTATTAATTGGCCAATAAGAATGTAGAATTTATGAGCCATATGGTTATTTTACCAGTTCGTGGGCTAAGTGTATCTTCCCCTGTAAAACTTTGTCACCCAAAACAATTAAAAACTTTCCGAATTTGACTAGGTGCAAACAGATCGAAAAGGAAAATTCCACTGCAGGTTTTTTAATAAGAAATTTTATTAGTAATACAATGTTTCTTGAATCGACATTTTTGAAAAATATTGCGTGCTCGCAAGAATTATTGGTTCATGAATTAATAAACGATGACAATGACATGCCGAATACGCGTTTTTTAGCTCTCGACTATGGAAGATATCAATCATTCATCTCGTGATTTATTAATGTGACAAGTAGCAAGCCATAATTTGTGATAAGATATCTAGTAGAAAATGAAAAACCATCAACGCGTATAAACTTATAAATACCTAGCTTCCCAGTTGGCAGCCTTCCAGTTCGTAGTATAATAATAACAGCCACCTTAAATTATGGCAAATCGTCCACACGGTGGTGAACTTAAAGACCTTCACACACGAGATGCTTACCAGCATGAAACTTTGCTTAAGGAGGCAGCGTTTCTCCCGTCTATCACATTAACTGATCGACAACTATGTGACTTGGAACTGTTAATGAACGGCGGGTTTTCCCCGTTAGAAGGCTTTATGAATCGTAAAGATTACGAAAGGTGTGTATTTACGAGAATTAATTCTTACGTGCGTGAAGTTCAGTGGTGTATATGCTTTTTCACGGCAAATTTTAATTCATTCCAAATAATAGTGTAGTTCATGATCTACGGTTAGCAAACGGTATTCTATTCTCAATGCCAGTAACTCTTGACATCTCACAGAAAGATATTGAATATTTTAATCTTGTGGCTGGCAAACGAGTCGTTTTACGCGATTTACGTGACGATGCTCCTTTGGCTATTCTAACAATCGAAGATATATATAAACCGGATAAGGAAGTCGAAGCAATCAACGTGTTTGGTGATAATGATTCAGCACATCCTAGCGTCAAATATCTACATACTCGTGTTAAGGAATACTATATTGGCGGTAATGTCGAAGCAATTAATCCACCCACTCACTATGACTATGTCGCTCACAGATGTAAGTTTAAAGATTTTTTTTTCAATTCTGGGTTCAAAACTAATTTTTCTTGCTTTGTTATTGGTGGATCAACTTTAATTTTGTCAACGTCATCGTTTAACCTATCACAATAGTCACTCCGACAGAACTCCGAGCTCATTTCAAAAAACTCAATTGGACACGTGTTGTTGCATTTCAAACACGAAATCCGATGCACAGAGCACATCGTGAACTAACAGTCAGAGCAGCACGCCAACGTCAAGCAAATATTCTCATCCATCCAGTTGTTGGCCTCACAAAACCCGGTGATATCGATCATTATACCCGAGTTCGTGTCTATCAAGCAATAATGCCCAAATATCCTAATGGTATGGCCACGCTAAGTTTATTACCGTTGGCTATGCGAATGGCTGGACCACGTGAGGCTGTTTGGCATGCAATCATAAGGAAGAATTTTGGTGCTACACATTTCATTATTGGAAGAGATCATGCAGGTCCCGGCAAAAATTCCAAAGGTGAAGATTTCTATGGTCCATATGATGCTCAAGTAAGTATTATTTTATACAATTTTAAAATAATAATACATACCTGTTTATTCATTTCATTTTCTTTATAACGACAGCATTTTGTCGAAAAATATCGAGACGAACTTCATATAGAGGTAGTCCCCTTCCAAATGGTCACTTATCTCCCTGATTCAGATGAATACTTGCCAATTGATGAAGTTCCCCTCGGCACAAATCAACTAAATATTTCTGGCACAGAATTACGACGTCGTCTACGAACAGGTGGCAATATACCGGAATGGTTTTCATATCCAGGGGTTGTAAAAGTACTACGCGATACACATCCACCAAGATCACGACAAGGTTTTACGTTGTTCCTTACGGGATATTATAATTCTGGTAAAGATACAGTTGGCAAAGCGTTACAAGTAAAACTTAATGAACAAGGTGGCAGATCTGTAAGTCTGTTATTAGGTGAAACAGTAAGACATGAAATATCTTCTGGTAAGTTACTTTGCATTCTATGTTCTGAGAAAATTTTAATCTCTATCGATTCTAAATCTTGATTCACTTTTTTGTATTAGAATTGGGTTTTACGCGCAAAGATCGTGATCAGAATATTGCACGTATAGCTTTTATATCAGCAGAGCTTACTAAAGCAGGTGCAGCAGTTATAGCTGCGCCAATTGCGCCTTTTGCCGAAGCACGTGCACACGCAAGAGCTCATGTAGAAACATATGGTGGGTTTTATTTAATTCACGTGAACACTCCTTTGGAGCATTGTATAAAGACGGATCGAAAAGGAGTTTACAAGGTATGTATACTATTCGAATTTCTAATTGTGAATAAATCAATAATAATGACACAATCTTTATTATATCTTTTTAATTGACGATGGTGATGGTGATGTAGAAAGCACAATCTGGAGAGATAAAAGGATTCACGGGTGTTGACGACACATATGAAATACCAACTGACGCTGATATCGTTGTGGATGTGAGTAAGCAAAGTATCAATGAAATTTGCCATCAGATATTGCTGTTAGTTGAAAAGGTATGTAATCGGTCTTCAGATCCATTAGTAAAAGACTTATACACGTAATCTTAATGAACTTATTATTTAATGTAGGATGGTTATATTGGCGAAAAATAATGGACGTTGGAAATTAAGGATGTTAAATGTTCGGTTCGTCCAAGAGATCTGCGGCCCCTTCCATTGGACGGTTCAGCCGCATCGGTCCCAAACTTTCCAATAAATTCATAGATCTTTTATCACTCAATATTTCAAGACTCAAGTATTTGTTACATTCTATCTTTAGATTTTCCTATATTTAAGTTTATTTTTTTGTTCTATTAGAACAAATACAATGGGACGGATTCGTCCTAATTTAAATCACGTGTTATGCGGGACGATTTCAGCGGTCCAATTCAGTCTTTAAAAGTCTTGTCTAAGGATGATAAGGACTGACACGGACCGAACCTTTAACATCCCTGATAAAAGAATTTTCTTTAATTAAAATTTTGGACTTATTTAATCCTTAAAGCTTTTATTATTATGTTTACTCTCTTTTATTTATATAATGGACAATCTACATATTTATTATTTTATTATTTATTATGCATTCTCTCTATGTAGCATACATTCATTCTAATATACTTTTATTATTAGTTACATATTCGGGATCATTTAATAAGCGTACTCGCATTCTCAATATTGCTATTTATATGTCATCGAGGTCAAAACACTTTATTTTTTGATTCATTTTGTCAAATATCTACAATAATCATTGATATTATATATATCATTGTTAAAAGTAATAAATTTCATAAAGCTGTTATTTTCATGTATAAAATTTTTAATTAGGAATGGATTTTCGTATATAATAAAATTTTTCCCTTTCAATCTTTCTAAATTTAAAAATCGAAGTAGATTCTATCAATATAAAGATGACACTCGACAACTAGTCTTTAATTTAGGTGATTATTATAAATAATTCACATAATTATTCAGTCATTTTCGTTGATTGATCTTTATTATTAGAGTCAGGCGATTCAACTTTATCATCTGACAACCCTAAAGTGTTATGTATGTGTGCTTGTATTGTCGATAGTGGATCTGCCATAAACACCGGATTTTGAATGACTTTGTGAAATAATTGCATTTCAGCGAGACTATGGTAAATAATAATTTGATCAGAGCTATTATATAATTTCTAAATACAAGCTAATGAGGTACATATAATAACAATACATATAATAACAATACTTACGCAGCATTCTTCCTCGCCTTCTTACCAACTACTTTCTTCCCATTCAATCCTTTAGGCAAAGGTGCCCGATTACGACCAGGCACAAATTTATCTGCATCTGATTTCATATCAGGTAAAGTTTCAAGTATTTGCTTTAATGATGAGAGGTCCAAAGTTGTGGTGGGATCTTCATTATTATTGTCTTTTTGATTTGTTTGATTTTTTAAATTCCTCTTTTTTTTGTTATCTTTCGAGTTGCGATAATTTGAATGGTCAGAGTAAGTGGCGTCTAATTCTGATGTTGTGAAAGTCAGTTATAACTTATTAAAGACGATAAATGATTCATTATTGAGATTAATGGTTTACTTTGTAGCCACTTGACATGCCGATCTCTGAGCTTCTCTTTTTTTGAGATTGGATGATGAAAATGACCGCGGTGAACAGGGTCCAGTTGATTAACGGAAATATTGTTACTTTTGTTGAATTTAGCTAAACCAGCGGCCTGCTTTAATTCTGCAAATTCATTTGAATATGATGATAATAAAGTTTTCGCCTGAGAATTTAATAAATTAGGCGAATTAGTTATGCTATCTAAAACAAATCGATCATACCATTTTTCGCTAAGACTATATAATTAAAATTTTATGGGTTTGCTTAGGATTACATTAACGTTAATAGCCGATCCTGGAACTACACGTTCTACTAACAATTGGGTCGTTTTTGCCGTAATTGCCTCAGCAATAAGTGGTGATTTTTGCGGAGCGATGTAATGTTGTGTAGTACGTTGTCTTCGAGCTTTTGGCTACGAGGATAAAACAAGGAGTTGAAGGATTGGTAAGTTTGACATCGTATTAAAAACACCAAGACAATGTAATCAATAATATATTTTACCATGATGAATATTAGAAAATAAAGAATAAATTTGACTCATACTCATTTTACCGTTACCCAGCTCACAATCGATTTTCCTTCACGTGGTTTTTCCGATCCGATTTTCCCGGCCACAACAATTACTCACTAATTAAAAGCTAGAATTAGCAAAATAATATTAAAAGAAATTGTTATAGTTTGAAGAGAAGCTAAAAATATGTGAGAGTTGTGGACGAGTGAAGTTTAAAGAAAAGAGAGGTATTATAAAATAAAGAGAAATATAAGATTCTAATTCTGTTATGTTAATTAAATTCTGATTCTCTATACTAACATTAAGTGTTTTAGAGCTAGAAATATACAATTAGTAATACAAAAAGAACAAAGACTCTTTCATTTTGTTCTTCTCACAAGTAAGGAATATTATGTCTTTAGCAAGTAAAGAATATTAATAAAATAAAATGATTAATTAATAATAGTATTTTGATAGGCTCAATATAATATATAATATTTAAATTCATCAAATATTCATATTTTATAAAATATATAAACTTTTTTATAAAGAAATAAATACAAAATTTATTCATAAATATAATAAAATAGATCTTTTTTAAATATATTATTACTATTTTATTAAGTTTAAGTTATTTATGCATTTTTTTATATATTTTTATTAACTTAAAACTAAGTTTTTATATTAGAAGAAACTAAAAACTATTACTAAAGGTAGATAATATATATTCTTATTATAACAAGCTAAAATGATATTTTATAACTTCACTAAGTTTTATATATTTACTTTATATTTTCAAAGATTATAATATAAACAAAAGTATTCAAAGATAATTATATATTTTTTTAATTTAGTTTATAAATAAATTAAGTATTTTTTTAAAGTTAATTTATAAATAAGTAAAATATAATTTTTTTTATTAATTCAAATATATATTATTAACTTTGCAATATAGATAAAAAATTAAATACAAGTATTATAAGAAGAACAATTTTACAATATATATGAGAGTTTATAAATTAAATAACAAGAATAACTTTGTAATTAAGATAAAAAATTATAAAAATTTTATCTAAAAAATTATTTAAAAGAATATAAAACTAAAACTACTTCAAACTTAGTTTTTTATCTAAGATTAAAATATATACTTTATTTATAAGTATTTAATAATTATAAAATAATCATTTGGAATAATCATTTAAAATATTGTTGTATAATGAAATTTTATATTACTTATTAGTCAAAAATATCATTTGAACTTATTGGATAATTTTGAAAATATATGTTTATATTTTAATTAGTTAAAAATTTTATATTTACATCTCGTATTATATTATTTATTTTTTTTATTGCTAAAGTGTAGTCTTGTTTATAGTAATATCTAATCTAATATACATAATATGAAGAATAAGAATTAAATTATTATAAACTATCACAAATCTACATTGAAAAGCCACCAGTGACTGTCAAAAAGCTTACACAAAGTTTAGAGGATCCATCAAATTGTTGCTGAAGATTTTCAATTTGATGATATTAGTAATATTAATATTGCTATAAAGAATGTATATGAAAGATTTAGAACAATTGTCATTGTTGTGTTCTTCTGGTAAGAATTCACACATGCAGAGGTTTGGATTAGAGTAACGCTTGTTAAGTGAAATATATGAGGATAAGCTATATTGTGAATATCCTTTATTTTTGACGTAAGAGTTTGATTTTTTTTGCTTTTTGAAAATGTGACATGACTTGTCATTTTGAATTTGAATCTTGTATCTGTTATTCCAAATTTGAGTTTTTATTTGCATGACGAATCAGAAAATTGTTTTGTATGATATTGTGATAGCATTTTGATGTGATTATCTGAGAGATTTAATAAAAATCAATAAAGTTATTGAAATAAAGCTATAGATAATGTGATTGATTTGTAAAGAATTTGGTTAAGTCAATGAGTTGATGAGAAAGTTGAGCAAAAAAAGAACTTTGAACAAAAGTTCTTGCTAGAAGATTTGTAGAAATCTTTGTTTTTATGCTCTGATTTTATTTTTTTAATGTTTTGAAGATGAGAGAGCTGAGTTTGGTAGCAAGAAAATTGATGATATTATTAATTACTGGAATTAAATTGATACTTGATCATATATGTGATTGGATTTCCTTGTGAATATTGCAACAATTATATATAGTATCTGAGTAAAGATCAGAATGACGTATATTTAGTAATTTGAGTACTAGAAGTTATTAATTAATGCACTTGATGAAGTAAGTTTTAAGGTTTGAGTGGAAGAAAGTGATAAATATACTATTTGCATCTTTGTCTGGATTCCAAACTTGAAGAGTGGCTTTCCAGTTGATATCATGAATATTAATATTATTTAATAAGTATTATAAGATATCTGACAATTGCCATGAGTAGAGATAACGCAGCAAGTATTGTCACCGATTCAATATCGTCAGTTATTCCATATGAAAACACGTGAATATAAGACGCAGTAACGATAAAAGATTGGTCATAATAATATTTGGATTACGTGTCTAGTTCGATAACATTCTACTTCTTT